TCAGCTTTAAAGCTGCAAACCATGCTAATCACAGTATATTTTCTAATGTATGATAAGTTAGAACAGACAAAGTAAGCCCACATTTTTTGAAATACCTTCTAAATTTTTTGTATTCAACATTTTACACACTGTGCTGCACTAAATCCAATTAAACAGGTCTAACTATGCTCTTTTGGTAATCAAACAAGCAGTTGGTGTTTTTTAAGTACTATCATCATCATCATTAACCGCTTAGTCCAGATAGAGTCGCGGTAGCAGTTGGGAGAGCAGAGAATCCCAGATGACCCTGTCCCCCGCAACTTCCTCCAGCTCATTCCTGGGGACCCCAAGCCGCTCCCAGGCCAACTTGGAGATATAATCCCTTCAGCGGGTCCTAGGATGACCCCGGGGTCTTATTCCAGTAGGCCGTGCCTGGTACACCCCCACCGGGAGGCGTCCAGGGGGCATCCGGATCAGATGCCCGAACCACCTCAGCTGGCTTCTCTCAATGCGGAGGAGTAGTGGCTCTACTCCGAGCTCCTCCCAGATGGCTGAGCTCCTAACCCTATCAAATAGAGTGTAGCTTACGGCCATACCACTCTGAGAACGCCCGATCTCGTCTAAGTACCATCAATATCCATGATATACTCAGGAAAGCATACTGTGATGTCATTTATCGCAATAACGATGAATGCTGTCATGCTGCCCAGCTCTACTTCTAGCTGCACTTTCTGAGATGATGTGTTTCTACGTTCTCACTCACTTGGATTGACGCAGCTCTCACAAAGCAGGTGGCCACAACTCGACACAACAAATTTCTTGCCTTTTCTCAAGAAACAGTTATTACAGTGAAACCACTCCATTTCCAAAATGAAATGAAAGCAGCCGTGGGTCAGTTTATAGACAGTCTGTAGCTAAACAACAAAAAACACGCTGTGAAAAAAATCCCAACGTTAAGGGAGCTAACAATTAGCTAGCCAGCTAGCAGACAAGATGGGCAAAAAGTAGTTATAAACTCAGCGAGCTGTTCATATCTGCGGTGTCAAAGCAACATAAATCTGCGCTATTTGTATTATTGTTTAAGTAACACGACTAACAATCTTTTCAAAGTGAGGTTTGACGCTGTTTTTTGCTAACCCAGGTTAGCTACGTAGCTAATGACAGTCCGGGCGAACGACGGTTAGCTCCAACGACTTTCTCCCACAGAGCGACGCACGAGACCGCGAATCACTGGGACTGGAGTGGATCCCAAAGAGTCGATTCTGTGATTCCAGGCGTTTGAGTTTTGGACTCGATTCCAAGCCGAGACGCTGAAGCAGTGATGGTTGGTTTTAAGGAGTCGACTCCTCGATTCCACCTGATTTTAACCAGCGCCCGAAACCAGTGATAAGGAATACAGCAGAAATGTATCCATCATAAACGTAGTTTACCAAATTTTGAGTAGCTACAGATCACAGAGAAATGATGAATAGTTCTAGATTATACTAAACGATATCAGGTGGCTTAACAAATGACTACAGCTGACTAATGTTTCAGCACATCTTACCATCAGCCTGTTTTACCTACTGAGAGTTGAGGGGAAACTCGGAGTGATGCACTCCGGATATCATTACTGTAACTTAGTAAGAATGATTTGAAAAGGAACCGTGTTAAAATATTTCAAAGAACCAAGTGTTCATTCCGGAGCAGTTCGATCTCGCTCCTCTTTTCGTGCGGCTTCGTATTCTCCAGCTTCTTACTGAACTTTTCCGTTCCACCTTAAATGCTGCAGCAGCTACTTCAGTGCGCTCGGGCGCCAGGACTGAACTGCAGCATCATTTAAGGTGGAACGGAAAATTTGAAAAAGAAATGTTTTAGTATCTGTGTCCTTCTAGAGGGTCTCTTGTGAAAGGTAAAAAAGAAATACACACGTTTTGAGCTACGTTTGAACGTCCAGTAAGCTGGACATTTGTATGATAAATTATGCTCTGATTAGTTTAATAGACATCTGTATTACAAATGCAGTCATTCAAGATGCTTGTTTATTTTGTTAAAAGTAGAATCTTATGTGTATTTAGGAGTGACAGAAGATGATGTTCAATGATTTTTGGGGATAATATTGTTTTTTATTGATTTTAATGGGTTCACTGTCCAATATACTGGACATTGGAATTAGGCAGATAAAATCTGCAAGATTTTGGGAAATGAGCATGTTTGTTATCGTCAGGATGACTGATCCAAACAAAAATACAGAACTTTTGCTGTGTTTCAGAAATGTTATTTCTGTCTACGACACTGGGCTAGCTTATAAAATGTATGTCATATGTGTAATACTACTTATGAATCTATGTAATATAGCTAATGTAATATTTTCTGACTTTATCAATGACCTCGCTTGTTTAAACCATTTGGTAATTTTACATATAGTGATATAAATCAGTGTATACTTTGTGTTAACCTTTTCAACTCCATGAGACCACCAGTGGCTCCAAAATGCACTTCGTCATATTCTTCATAACTTTCATATTTCATAAGCTACATTCAAAAGGTGGGTGTCATATGAGAGCTGTTACTGTCTTCTGTCCAGTCAAATAGATGGGTGATGTAATTTTAAACCCTTATAATAAAAGAAGCTGAACTCACAATTTTTTGGTCTACTGAAAGTCGACCCATTTTTCCACAAACTATAAACAGATGGCGGAACCAGAAAAGGTTCAGTGCTTGCTTTGTATCTTATTTTGATAATAATAAATGACCCATAAAAAATGTTCATTTTTGGTCACTAATATTTTTTTTCCACTTTGTCTAAAATATATAATAGAGTTAAACTATCAATGTGTGAGCATTTTTCAGACAAGTTGTCTAGACAGCAGAACACACTACATGGACAAAAGTATGTGGACACTTGATCACACCTATGTGAGCTTGTTGGACATCCCATTCTGGTGTCCACCAAACCCAGATGCGCCAGACTGCCAGATAGTGAAGCATAAATTTAGCTTTACACCACTCCAGCCAACGCTTGGCATTTCTCATGATCTCGTGATCTTAGGCTTGTGTGCAGCTGCTCAGCCTTGAAAACTCCCGACATACAGTTATTCTACTGATGTTGCTTCTGGAGGCAGTTTGGAACTCTGTAGTGAGCGCCGCAACAGAGGACAGGTGAATTTTACACACTACATGCTTCAACACTTAGTAGCCCTTCTCTGTGAGTTTGCATGGTCTACTGCTTTGTGGCTGTGTTTTGTTGCTCCTGTATGCTTCCATTTCACAATAATAGCACTTACAGTTGACAGGGGCAGATCTAACAGGGCAGAAATTTCACAAACCGAATCCTGGCAAAAGGGGCATCCTATGATTGTGCCACATTTAAAATTACCGAGCTCTTCAGTTCAACCCATTCTACTGCCAATGTTTGTATATATGCTTGATTTCATACTCTTGTTAGCAATGGCTATGGTTGAAACACCTGAACTCAATATTTAGGAGGGGTGTTCACATACTTTTGGTCATATGGTGTATCTCATAGTCATGCATGCAAATGTGGGCAAACTTCAACATCACTGTGTGATATGGAGCCCAAAAGTGTAAGTTTTGAAGTATAATTAGCAATTTAACTGTCATGTTGCTTTACATATGCTGATATTTGAACCCCATAGGAGAATAAGTACCAGTGTAATTGATTCTTTCATCAATATGCTGAATTGTCCACTACACATGACTGCTGGTGCAACTTCTTGTGCCCTGTAGAATAAGGATTTTTAAGAACTTTAAAGGCCCACATCAGACACAGTGGTTAACCACATGCAACTGCTTTAAATGCTTAACATTTCAAAACCATAACATTAAATCCACTGTGTTTTGGGTTCCAATCCATTCCAACATGACTGTTGACGCAACTTCATTTTATTCTGCTAGATGGCCAGCCAATTATCTCACCAAGGCCAACCTGGCTGAGTGTGTGTTCCATTTGAGGAAATTGACCCTAGCCCCTCCTCCTTCCTTTTTTTCTGCAAATGGCCACTTGTGTAACATAGGTGTTGCACATTTAAGTGCTGAGTATGAAAGGACGAGGGCACATTTTTTTATTTATATATATATAAAAATAAATAAAAGTATTGCAACAAGGCCTAGAACACAACTATGCTTACCTTCCCCTCATAGCCAACAGCAAATGAGGTGCATTATGGTCCAGTGAACCTCAGTTAGTGTGTTCAAGGCTGAAAGGCTTTGAAAAGACCTCCCATCAGCCCACATTTTGGTAGATAACTTTTCAATTGGAAGGCATTCAACACCACTAGTCTCTCTTACCAGCACCAACCATTCAAATTTGGTTGACGCTGGTTCCATCAGCTCATATCAGCACACTTAGAGTGGGCAGCTTATAAAATTCAGTCTAAGGGCTCACCAAATAATTCTCAAAAGGACAAAACTCCAGTGTGACAAATACTGACAGGCACGTATTGCGCTTGATTACACCTGTATAACAATAACAAAGAAAAACAGCAATTAGCGTTTAACACCACATCCACGCAATGGCAACACTTTCGTAATGATATTCTTAAATAATGAATCTCATCCTCTAGATGTATATATTTTCCACAAAAGACTACACTTTTTTAAAAGCCACAGCATGACATTTGAGTTTTACATTACCTTCACATTACCAAGTCATCTTACCCAAGTAAAGTGCATGTGAACACTTTGATTGGGTTACTGACAGTCAGATTATCTGCAGTTATCAGCTTAACAGCTTGTAAAACCCACTAAAGGCCTAAAATCAGGTCGTTTTGGCAGCTTAGTTTCTATATAGGGACTGTTTAAAGTTAGTATAGAATGGCACGTTTTGAAAGCGTGTTTACATAGTGCAAGATTTTATTAAAAACGTTTTCCTGCTCTTTGAGAAAGCTGGATCTAAAAAGAAATTAAGTTTTGAAACGTGTAATCAAACTAGCACTGAATTACAGAAGGCAAAAACCCCCACCAACTTCATTCATATGAGCTTTATTGTAGGAAATGTAATTATGTAATCTTTCGTTGAACCTCCAGACCATTGCAACTCCAAGGGTGTGGAGCAGATGAGGAATCCCTCTTGCTTTTGATGGATCACTGGTAGGCCTCCACACCAAAGACTCTGAACAACCTCTAGCGGCTTGGGAGGTTACCCATCCTTGAAAGCAAACGTGCAAGTTAGAGCTCCAAGATCACAGGACATTAAAGTTATTCCTGCAAAATTTAAATGAAATAAAACAGAACAAACCTTGCTAAATCCATCAGCTGTGCGCCACTGCTTAATCCTTGATGGTAAGCGGCCCAAGCACAACAGACTGAGCTACAGCTGGAGGTTATTAAGGTGTTAGTGTCCAGTGGTTTCACAGAATGGACAGCACAGTTACACTTAAATACCAACCTCTTCTGGTTCTCCTTCTATTCCTTGCTCGGCAAACTGTATCACAGCAAGCACAGATGGCACTCTCCGAAGGATTGTCAAGGAGCTCCCATCTACAGAGAGGTAATCAGATCTGTTGCAATCCATTGCCATTTTAAGTTGACAGTTTGATAAATAAGTAGCCTCAAGCCATTTTGTAAACAAATAACTTGCCTTTCGTTCTGTTTATCATACTGACAAGCTTTTCTGCCACTGTCCATGTCTTTGGGGTCCCAAGCCACAAGTTTACAGTGAATGTAGACCTAGGAGACAGACTTTAGCTTCAGTTTTTTAGCTGATAACCAATAAATATTGATATCAATATTTGATACTAATTACTTTAATGTTGGAGTATCAAAAATTCATCATTCAATACCAAAATTCAGTACACAAGAAAGTCAGTCTTATCAGCTTCAGTTGAAATGTGAATAACCAGAACACTCAAGTTTTCCCTACTTACCACAAATGTAGTCAATCAGCAAAGAAGTTCAGCTACAAGGCTAACATTGTTAACACTAAATGTCAAGTCAACCAAATATTTCCTGTAAATACATCAACAAAATCCAGCTCTTCATCAAGGCCATACAGACTTGTCCACATGATTTAGGACACAATGACTTGTTAACTATTAAGATAAAACCACGTTCAGTGAAACTGTAGCTGAACACTTGAAACAGACCACTTCAGACAAGGTCTTTCCATCAAATTAATTTAAATTAAAATAAGTTTTGGGGATGTACTTACAGAAAATAGTGAGACATTTGACTGCCTCACAGCTTCAACGCTGAACTAAAGAAGCAACATTTGCAGACCAAACACCTCAGCTGAATGACTTATTCTAGGTTAACTGGAAAGGTGACTCAACCCATTCCTTTAGCACAAGCGCTCCTTGATTCATCTGGAATCTGTTAGTACATTCACGCAGTTCCTAAAATTCAATTACTGGTTTAAGTAACCTCACCCAGTATTGTTTTTACTTATTTATTAATTTCCTTCTTTTCATAAATAGGTGACATAAGAACATTGTCAGAAGCCATACAGCCCACAGAATACAATGCAAGGTTTGCCCACCTGCCAGGATCCTCAATAATATAGAAATAAACAAGAATTAAACTGATTATTTTGGTTGATATTAATGACCTTGAAGCACCCCTCTATGTTAATTCCCAAGGTTGAGTAGTGGTATACATTAACCATTTCTTGACAGTTTTAAAATAAGGTGAGGTTTTGTTTCTGAAGTGTATGAAATGGAATGTTTTCCCCAACTGTTGAGTTGTTTGAGTGATTGTCTTCATGCTGGCTGCTAGAAGCACCTGCAGCAAATATCCATCCTCTCCAACCAGACCATCTGGTATGTTCCCCTAGTGTAACATCTTATCCAAGTGTTAAATATTGTTAGTGAAATCCAACCCAGTAATTTTCAATGTTGATAATGCCCCAAAAGATGCAAGTCTGCCCCACATCAGTGGAACCACAGTATCTCCAAGGCTGTGGTATAACAAGCGGCATCAATTTAACTATTGGTGTAATAAAACTAATTAGGTTTTTCAAGCAAAATTCACTCCACATTCTTGTGGTTGTAGTTTGTGTTGTCCAAACACTCACTCCCTCCCTCCCAGCCCAGCCCCCCACCCCCCAATAACCAGTTTTCAAATGCATACTTACCTCCTCACTAAAAGAAAACTTGAAAGCTCGAAGATAGAGTCTGATTTCAGACGGACTTCGTCTGGGTAAGAATCTTGAATTAGCCTTCTTGCTGTCCACCAGACATCTAAGAACAAGACATTGCATCAGTCTTGATGAACGCTTCGAATAAGTGGTTCAAGCAGCCACGACAAGCACATACCCCTTGTTCGCAATTATAGAGTAAACATCACTGTCTTGTGATAGATCTGGTGAAGCAGAAGCTACACATTCTTCCAGCAGCAGAACCAGCGGCTGATGAGCCTGCTGTTCAACGACAGCTGCAATCGGTATCAGAGAGCCCAAGAAGAAAGTCGTTGATGTGGCCACATCACTGAAGTCATCTGCAATGCGATTGAAAATTATACCATCACATATACAGTTAAACATAGAAGGTGAAATACTGAATCTAAATACTAAATCTGAACACTCAAAGAATTGCACAAAACAATTCGCACTTCTGGAAAAATGGGCGAGTATTGTACTGTGCCTCACCCAACACATCAATACTGGACCTAAAATCAATAATGAACTTGAAAGGGTACCATTCTCAAGAGGACATTCCAGGCAAAGTAAGGCACATTATCACTATCTGCCTGTTGGCATCCTCCAGTGGTGCTGCAGTTGTCTCCATAGTGAGATTTAACAGATTAGACTGGGAAAGCCCACTTTTGATGATGCATCTTGAAGTAATGTTCTTAATTATTGCATCAAAGAATGGGTTACTCAAATGACAAGAAATTACTTGTCAGTTGGGTAGGACAAGCTAAAAGCTAAATTCAGCAAGGTCCCAGACAGCACAAAGGCCGCTGTTGGCCCACCAAAGCTGGCAGCCCACTGGCTTTTTTTGCTCCGTGTTTTCCAGGCAGCCCATTGATGGTCAAGCAGAGTATTAGACAAAGTTCCACTTTTAATTGCTCATTTTTTTTGTCAAAATGTACATATTTTTATTTTTGTTCTTTGAAAATTAAGTTTAGTAAATAAACAGCGATATCAAAGCTAGTTATACAGCTGTAACCAATGCAGCAGCGTCAGCAACATCTGACAAAGTTTTATATTAGGCCTAGTCATTCATTTCTCAGTAGTCTGACTTGTTTTAGCTTATTTTCCAAAATAAAAGATTGTGCATTTAAAACCCATTTGGGGAGTTCAAAAACTAGATCTTGTAAGCAGGCCAGTTATATGGGTGGTCCAAGGGTGGACCAGCAGTAGCAAAGTCAGAGGGTGCCAGTCTTATCAAGCCAGTGAACGGACATCTGTTGTGGCTGACTACAGTTACCGTACCTCACTTTGGCTTCTTTTCTGACTGAAGGAGTAAGAAAACTTGCCCATTTCATCCAGTTTGTGCTAAATAGAGAAAGAATCTGTTTTCTTTACAATTTTGTTACAATAATGCTGGCTTGGTTGTGTTTATAGGCCTATAGCTGAGAGGCTAGGCTAGCAGTTAAGACCTCACAGGGCATGTTTTCAAGTTATGTTTGCTAGATACTGTAGTTAGAACACTGATGAAAGTAAAACCACAAAATTGTGAATAATGCTGAGCTACAGAATATTACAAACTCTAGGCAAAAATTCCCCTTTCAACTTCAAGCTGCAGTGCTACCGTTCATAAAACTCATATGGAAGACCAGGTCTCCCCGTCCATTAGCATGGAAGGTCACTGGATCATACATAGGTGGATTCCACTCTGCAGGCCTGAAACAGAAAAGGCCACACAACTGTTATTCATTGGCCTACAAACCAAAATCAGTCAAAGGGGAATTCCACCATTTTAAATTTGTTTGTCCTTGAGATGTAAACGGTCATTCAGAGCAGTTTGGTGTGAAGTTCATTGTAGAGAATCTCAGAGTGAGAATCAGGGGTCACGATGTCAACAGAAATACAGCTTTTATTTACTATCCAAAACACCCAGTGAACCTGTGTGTGTTCCTGGAGTTTTTATATGGAATGCTGATGGTAGAATAACCATAAACCAAAAATTAGTTTTCTTTGGCAACTATTTTGCCTTACAACACCCTGCATGTATCCCTCCACCATGATCAGATAAATACATTAAGCCAAAACTATCATAAAACAAGGCCAGACTTCATTAACCATTCCAGGGTTAATGCCTCTGAAAGCTCCCTCACAAAAAGTTTAATAACTTCTTGCGAGGGAGCCTTCGGTGGCATTAAAATCCGAAGATGTCTGGTTCCCATCACCACCACTGAACAACTTCACCTCAACCATTTCATGATGATTTTTTAAAAAAAAAATGGGTGGAGTTGTCCTTTAGGCATTGACTATCATATGTACTGAAGCAGATTTAACTGAATTCAAATGCTCAGTATACCATACAGTACCTTTCATAAGCACAGACAATAGGGCAGGAGAAGTCTGAAGGGCTTTGGGAGGAAGCTTCTGATGACAGTTCATTTTCAAACACAACCTCATTCTCGGTCACCTTCAACACAGAACAAGCTTAAGTCTCAACACAGCCAGTAATACGTCAGTGTCTCTGTGAGGGGTTCAGCCATCACAAGTGTGCATTGCTATGAATCCCACCAGTCTCCTGAAACTGCAGTCATCAAACCTCGCATGAAACACAGCCTCTGCACCCCCGGGCCTAAGAGACACACTGGACGGAGGACAGTCACCCAGGCGGAGAAGCCAGGGGTCAGTCAGGGATTGCGGTTCACTCCACCGTACCGACACAGAGCTTTTGCCACAATCCACAGAGACCTCTGGAGAAAGAGACCCACATTCAGTATAAATACATGATTAGAGACAAAACCATAAGACAAAGTACCACCACAGTTACCTCCTCGCACCCAAAACAAAGCAAACGAACTGAACACCATCAAACTTCCCAGACATAAAGCCATCCTTGCGGTGTGCAGAGCTGAACTCTGAGTGGGAATTTAAGCTCTCTTTAAAGCCTCAGCTTGCTAAACGACTGACAGCTGGAAGAGACCTAATTGATGTAATAAGGCAAAATCAGTCAGATCGCCCCCTGCTGTTTGTGGGTTAACATGACCTCAAGGTGATGAACGCAGGAGAATTACAACTCTGCAATGTTTTCCGGTTTCTCAAACGCTAGAGGGCGCTCCCGAGTCCAAAATGAATGCGTTGATATGGAGCATTTGAGCAAAATCATAGTTTATAAATGCTTAAACATTTTTAATGTAAAAGAATACAATCATTACCTGTAAACTGAAAAACGTAACACATTTTAACACTGCAGTTATATTTTAAAGAGCTTTTAAACTCGAGTTATAAGAGTTTAAAACGGCGCCTCATGTATGTCCATGACGTCAGTGAGCGAGAACAGCCAATGAGCTGCTCCGCTCGCCAATCAATCATCACGCTCCAGCAGTAAAGCCCGCCTCCTGCTGGCCAAAACCCGTTTGCTGTAGAAAAAGGGAAACATACAGGTAAAATTTCTTTGTTTTTTTTTAGTGAAATACATCCGTCTGCTTTCTAAAATTAAAGAAACGTTCTGGGCGAGTGATTAGGGACTATTTTAACTGTTCGTTTTTAGCCGTTGAGCGCCATTCACTCCCCTTCATTGAGGACTCACTCGCGGGCGCCCTCTACTGTTCAGCAGTCTTGTTTTTGGTATAAGGGGGGGAATAGGAGGTGGCCGAGCTCCTCTTAAACCGGCTCTGATTGGGCGTTCGTAGTGAAGCCGGTTTATGAGGAGCCTGGCCTCTTCCTGGCTCCCCCGCTGTCTCATAACCGCCAGAGGGCGCCCGCGAGCGAGTCCTCAATGAATGGGGGCGAATGCAGCTAAACGGCTAAAAACAAAAAGTTTAAATAGTTTCGAATCTCTCGCCCGGAACTTTCCTTTGATTATGAAAAGTAGAAGGATGTATTTCACTAAAAAGCAAGGAAAACTTACCTGTATGTTTTCTTTTTTTCTAGAACAAACGAGTTTTAGGCAGCGGGACGCTAGCATTACTGCTACTGAGTGCTGATTGGTTGGCGAGCGGAGCAGCTCATTGGCTGTTCACACTCACTGACGTCCATGAACGCGGTTTTAAACTCCTTTAACTCGAGTTTGAAAGCTCTTAAAAATATAACAGTGGCGTTAAAATGTTTTATGCGGTTCTGTATGGAGGACCAGATTTTCCAAAATTAAAAATAAAGAAAATTAAAAATAAACGACTTAGTAAATTAATATATGAAGTAGAATTGCAAAGAATAATGATGATAAATCTAAAAATAAATATACATAATTATTATTGTTTTACAGTATATTAATAAATAAAATCTCATATAAATTATTGTCTGCATTTATTTATGTCTATTTAGTAATTTCCCCTTCTCACTAATTTTTGTATTTATTGTTTGTTATTTATGTTTCTTTATTAATATTTTTTCTGTTTTTCTATTAATTTATTTCCATTGCTGTTAATTTATCTATTTATTTATTTATTTCTCTATTTATTTATTTCTGTATTTCCTTGCCCTCATGCCAATAAAGGGGCAGTCAGTCAATGATGTCGCAGCCTCTTAATATTCCTATTGGTTGATCGATATCAGACTCTATAGATCGGTTGTGCGCGTCTTGCTCTCTCAGCGGTTCCTAAAGACAAGACAGTACAGTAGTGGCTGCTTACAGACAGCAGACAGTCAGAGATCTGAGAGTCTCGGCTGATCTGGCTGAAAATGCAGGTCCGGATTATTGACTCTTCCGTTGGAGGCTGTGGGGACAGTTTGGTCCATTTAGCTGATCTGCTGATACAGAGGTCGACCAGTAGTGTTCAGAACTGTGGAGGAGGTGGTTCATCGTCTTTTCCTGCAAAATTCAGATCAAACGCAGACATTTGGACGCCCGTCTCACACACTGCCTGTGGAAGACATCGAGAGTTATTCATCGGCAGGTTTGTCTGTTCGTGGCATTGCAGCTCTTTATGGAGTGAAAGAACAGTTTAATCAGCTCTTCTCCTTCTGGTCTTGATTGCTGAGCCTGAACGTGAAAAACACGCCCCCTCATTATCCTATGAACGAAGAAATACAGAAATAAATAAATGAATTAATGAAAAAAGAAATAAATTAATACATGAATCAATGAATCAAGCGAACAACTGTTAAAAATATAGATAAGGAAAAAATATATAAAATGGCATAAATAAAACAAAACAAATAATACAGAAATAAATAAATACATTGAGAAATATATAACTGCAGAAAAAGGAAATGTGTGTAATTACAATCACAATAAGCAATATATACTTTTAGGTTTTTTTTACTTATTAATTAATTTATTGAGCCATTTTTTTTATTTAATTTTTTTTTTTCAATTTGGCAAATCTGGTCCTCCATAGTTCTGTGTTCAGGATATAAATGCATTCCTTTACATTAAAAATGTTTAAGCATTTATGAACTATGATTTTGCTCAAATGCTCCATCTTAACCCATTGATTTCGGACTCACTCGGGAGCGCCCTCTAGTGTTTGAGAAACCTGGAAGACAGTAAAGAGTAATGATTACAGAGAACTTGTAGAAAGGAGAATTAGCACTTTGTAATGTCTTACTTTGTACAATTGTGCGCTTTGGGGAGGAACCTTATCTGTTCCAGCATGACTGAGCCCCAGTGCATAAAGCAAGGTCCATAAAGGCCTGGCTGGGTGAGTTTGGTGTGGAAGAACCTGACTGGCCCTCACAGAGCCCTGACCTCAACCCCATCAAACACCTTTGGGATGAACCAGAACAGAGATTGTGAGCTAGGCCCTCTCGTCCAACATCAATGTCTACCCTCACAAATGCTCTTCTGGATGAATGGACAAAAATTCCCACAGGCACTCTCCAAAATCTTCTAGAAAGCTTCCCAGAAGAGTGGAAACAGAAAATGGTGGAATGGTTAATATGTATTTTTTTGTAGGAAGGGGCTCAACTCTACAGGGTATGAGCTGCAGATCAGACAAAATCAAGCAACGTAGATAGGAAAGGAGGTTTAATTCGGACAGTCATTCTGAGAGATATAGCAGACTGGTAAAATCTTGTTGCTTATCCTAGCATTTACAAAAAGACGATAGCAAGCCACTGCTAGCCTGCTAACAGCCCACTGGCTTGTTCCACAGCGGCCCACTGGTGGTTGAGTAGAGTATTGGACCTCTGTGGCACCTTTCATCACTCATTTTCCACTCACAGTCCAATTTACTTTCCCTTCATTTCTTTAATCATTTGTGAATTTTCAGTAAATAATTTTAACAGCAATATCATAGTCAGTTATACAATTGAGTAAGCTGTTACCAACCTAGCACAGTGACAGCAACATTTTCAAGTCGTATCAGGCCTAGTCATAAAATTCTCTCGTTTATTTTTGAAAATAAAAGGCTATGCACATTTAAAATCTGTCAAAGCTAGTTGGACCTTGTATGAAAGACCGTAATCTGGGTGGTCCTTATGAGCCACTTCGATACAAGCTTGCTATCAGGGTAGCAGGAGTGTTTCCATCCTGACAAAAAAAACTTCCTAAAAATCTCCAGTGAATTTATAGCTGATAGCTTCATTAGACTTGGACTTAGACAGACTTTGTCATTCAAATTTACACCATACAGTGCGCATTAGAACAAAATTACGTTGCATAGGCTCAGAGTAGATCAGGGAGAATTATAAGTAATACAACATAGTGCAAAGTGCAATGTAGTGCAGAGTGTGGTTCATATGTAAACATATTCATGTCAACAGAAATACATTTTAAATATGTATATACACAAGAGGGTGTATTGCACTGTAGCTCCCAGGTATGGAGTAATCAAAAAAAGAATTGAAGCAGCATTTATTTAGAGTTCAGCAGTCTTATTGCATATGCATGCATTTTTACTAGGACAATGTAGGAGTTTGCTGATAGTTGCTGGCTAACTCTTTTGGTGCAATAGCAAGAAGTCCCTTTCATTTATAATGAGAAAAAAAAATTCTGTACTAAAAGAACCAATTCCAGTAGCTCCAGTTTCACATCAGACTTACAGTACACAAACGCTCCTGCTGCTTTATTTCCTTCATATGGCTGGACTAACGGAAGATATTTCACATATCACACCAAGGAAGGGGGTGTGCATTTATTTTAAAGCAAAATGCACATGAATTACCACCACAGTCTATACAGACTGCAAATACTGGAGAAGAAAAAAAATAAAATAAAATAAAACACGCTACTACCTGCAAAGGGAAACCCAGTGCTATGTTAAAACATTTGTGTTCATGCTCCACTTTAGTCTTCAGTCCCTTATGCAGCATATGGGAATACGGAAGTCATCATGATTAATTTAGGGTTATTTAATGTTTTTTCACAAAGCTTAAAGCCCACATTCTCCTTTTAAGGGCAAGAGTAAAGTGATCTTGAGTTCTGATTGGCTTAATACATTCTCAGCACGTAACAGCATCAGAAACTGTCTAGGAAAGTAAACATTCACAGCACATACAAAAGATTCTTACAAGTCAAAGACCTTCGTTTTTTGTTACTAGTTTATTTTTTTTTGGAACAAAAGGCCAGGAGGTGTTGTAGACAAGCTCATTTTAAAAGGCATAATCCTCTTTACGCTACCACCCCATACATGGTGGAGAAAAAGTGGTCAATCATACATGCAGAACTCAGGTATGACGTCTTCAAGAAGCTACAGCAGCGTTAAGTGTGGATACAGCGAATCGTTTATTCTTTACTGTAAAAAAACAAAAACAAAAGGATATTAAGCAAGTCAAAGCAGGCTTGAATAATAATGTTAAATTTAACCAACCTTCTAGCTGTTATGACCATCTTGAATTGGATTGCCATGTCTTGACGGGCTTGCCGTTATAGTCAGTGGTCCTAATACAACGCTTTGAGCTAGGCCTCGGAATTCTGCAGCCAGGAAACATCCAGTCACAAGAAACTCACAGTAGCACTCAAAACAATGTCAAACCGTATACTTCACCTGACTGTAAACCCCGCTTCACCCGCTGCGAGCAGCTGTAATCACAGCAGCGGCACAGGTCACTCATTGAAGGGTCATCTAAAAGTTCCCATCTGTCAGTGGAAAAGGCAGATAATTGAGCAGAAATTGATCAGTAAAAAATGTGCTGGTTGAAATGTAGAAATTAATATTTACCCTCCAAGGTCTTTATTGTAATTGCAAGCCTTCTTTTCTTCATTTGGATACTCAGGGTCCCATACTACTAAACTGCAGTGGAGGTACACCTGGTAGTAAAGCAGAAGAACCAGTAAGAAGACGTAAGAACTTAACCCTCGTAAAGGGATCTTTAGTAAAGCCAACTTTTCCATTTAGAAGCACGAGTTCAAAATAGGACCTTTTCATGCTAAAATGGTTCTTTGCATGGTAAAATTGTTCAGATTGATGGGAATGTGAACTATTTTGAAAATGGTTCTATATAGCACCAAAAAGTGTTTTGTTGCAAGCTTGACATTGTAAGAATAGAAGAAGCCTTTTTGGTGCTATATAGAACCATTTTCAGACAGGTTCTACGTAGAAACATACAACACAATCCATTAATCTGAAGAACCATTTCACAATGCAAAGAGCCATTTAAGCAAAAGTCAGATTTTGATCTTGTGGTTCATTGAGAACTTTGATAATATGGGCCAAAATATGAGTTTTTATATAACACTGAAAAGAATTACATGAACTGATGAAACCTGATCTTAGATCTTGTGTTTAGTTAGGAAAAAAAAAAAAAAATTATATATAAGATAACCATCTTAGTGTGTACTACTTAAAGATGACCCGCTTCCACTTCCACAGGAGACTTGAGGCTAATGAATTCAGACCGAATGTAAGTTGTTAAATAAAATGCAAACAAAACAGATTAAATTAGCACCATCAACTTTAACACAGTCAATGAAAACCTGACTTGGCTAGTCAGTTGTGTTACAGCACTGCAAACTCATTACTCCAATGTCGTTCTCCCAGAGCTTACAACAGCGTCAGGTCCAATGTGGCTTTTAATAAGCCATTCTTTAAAGAAAAGCCTTCAGTCTGATGGACAGAGCGAAGGGCTACATGCAGTAAACTTGACGTGAATATTTTAAAAATTGTGGGGTCAAAAAAAAAAAATTGTTTATTATTGCCCAAACAAATAAATTCAAAAAATAAAATAACATCGCTTTTTTCTTGGTGAAGACATTAAATAGTAAACCCCAAATTCAACTTGACGTTTCTAGAAAAAGGTTTATGTTTGTGGAAGGTGGAACGGGAAAATTCAAAGATGACGCTGGCGACTGAGGATTGGCCTTGAGCCTCGTAAAAAAGCCAAACATTGAGACATTTTACAAGAAACTCTTCTACTTTTGGAAAAGTTTCCTGCCAGAGATGCGAGAAATGCAGCTATAGCTGAGATAAAGCTTAAAGCAGAGCACAGTTCGTCTGTTTATTTATTTTTTAGCCTATACTAAGACACAAGCACATACTAAAATGGCCAAGAAGGTAAAACATTACTTAAATAATAGGACATAAAATGACGTGGCCTCCTAGGTGGATTGATTTTTGTTGAAAGGACAAAATGGTGGATCTTGCCGACCCCTGACCTAGGAGAATACTGGGTTCCCCCCAAAAGATGTTTAATTTTCCCCTTATGTATTAATTTTGTCCCATTTGTATTCCCAAACTTGGTAAAAGGCCTTGAACTATGGAAACAAGCACTGGCCACAAGGAACCACTTACTTCCTGTTCCAGTGCGAAACTGAAGGCTTGTAACTGAAGCACAACTGAAGAGGAATGATATCTTGGCAAGAACCTGGAGTACCCAGTCTTACTGTCCACAAGACATCTATGAAGAAAACAGGCTATCAGGGTTAGTAATCACCATGAAGGGAGTTGTGCCTCCTACCTCATTAAAACATACCCTTCGTTAGTGATGATTGGATACATCAGCGACTCTGGTCCCAGTGTTTGGGTTGTAGAGGCCACACACTCTTCCAGATAGAGCATTAGGGGCTGATGGGCCTGCTGCTCCACTGCAGCCCAAATGTGAATAAAGGAACCCACAGGAAAGGAATCGGAGAGGGCCGGGCCACTTAGGTCATCTGTTTGGAATCATTTGAGGCACAGTGATCAATTCTGCCACCACCACATTTGTATGGAAGTTGTGCTATAATTCCTGTGCATAATTTCATGTCTGTAGGACATCTTTGATGCATTTATCAATATATAATACATGGTTCTACCACTTTAAAATAGAGAAATGATCCATCATAATCAGGATATAAATAAATATATACTGTGAAATGCTGGGCTTGCAAGTACACTCAAATGGTTCATTTGAATACTCGGCTAAATGGTTCTTAAATTGTTGAAAATGGTTCCATATAGCAATAATAGGGTTTCACTAGAACCTTTTTTTGATGCTATGTATGATGCTTTGGCATTAGCTAGGTCTACATTTTCTAAGAAACACACTATAACTTTCTTTAAGCAACACCATAGAAAAAAACAACCTACAGATATTTGATAGTGACTTGAGTGCAAGAACCTTTATATAATGCACCAATCTAAGGGTTGTTCCTAGAACCTTTGCATTATGTGGAGGGTCTTTAAAAGGATGCTTCACATTCACACCTCATTTGCAAAAAATGGTACTCCAAAGAACCATCCTGTAACAGGTTCTTTAGGCATCACAAACATTGATTTTTATAAAAAGGACACTCAAAGAACCATTTGAGTGTGAAACCCTTAAGTTTAAGGGTCTTCTATTCTAACACTGTACATGGTTCTTTAAAAGAACCTTTTAAAAAGGTTCCGTTTTGCACCAGAAAATGTGTGTGTTACAAGAAAAAGAACCTGTTAACTATATGGGTCATTCTACAGAAACGTCCACTTTTTTCTATCCCAAGGAGTCACTGGTGTTACTGATTGTCATTGGCGTTACACATAAAGGCAACATCAGTGACATTTTTAATGAAAAATGCATTTTACAAAATGGCTGCTACAGAGCATCAAACCACATGTCAATCACAGAATATCCACTAAAATATGTATTTTAATCCATTTGTATTCTATTTGTTTACAATTACCTAAGAATAAAGTAGATAAAGTCGGTCACACCAGTGACGTCAACTAAAAGCTTCATATGAAATCATGAGCTAAATGAGAAAATTTCTGATAACTGAAAAGACACAGTGGACTCACCATGTGCTTTTCCTCATAGATCCTCAGAAAATAGGTAAAAAGTAAAAAAAGTCAAGTGATGTCATCAGTTTGATTTTTATTTCAAAATAAGAGATTGTTTCAGTATCACCAGTGACACGATTTCTGGGGACCACAACTTTCATTACATATTTTATAAATTGTTTGTGTCATTTAAAATCATTTATTTTATAGTCATGCATGGATTATTGCAGTTAAAATAGAAGAAAAATCTATTTTTACCTCAAAATATGGCCTTACCCTTCACACATGACTGAGGACAAGCACTTCTGTGGTGCTTGGAACTCTATATAATTGATTTAAAAACCACTATTGCTAAAATCATGGCTCACAATGATGTAATTGTTAAATTAAGTTTGTTTTATTTTAAATCATAAATAAATTTTAACCCAAACATATTTTATGAAATATATGAAACGTAACATATGTAAATGCTAGGGACACAAAAATGGACGTATCCATAGAATGACAGACACATTAAGTGTGGGGTTCTGTGTAGGATTACTGGCCTAATATGTTAAAAAGGACAGTGTTACCCATAACATTTACACACATTTAAAGGACCAAAAAGGAATGTCCTCTATTAGATTTGCCTTTAAGATATGAAAATGAGCATAAATAATTAAATATTTGTTGAATACATTAAGTCATCAAATATATATCCTATGGACATGAAATTGGAGCAACCCATGAGACTCTTACCATTCAGAAGACCTATGTGGAAGATCAAGCTTCCTTGACCTCGCAAACCATGGAAGCCTGGCCTCAAAAAGGGATGGATCCATTCAGGCCTAAAGATGCGTCTTAGATCAGTGACAGGATTAAAACTCAAATACTTCAGTGAGTCAATAGCAACGGTACCTTTCCGAAGCGCACACAACAGGATACGTGAACGCAGCAGGGTTTGGCTTAGGCTTTGGCCTGAAGGCCAACTCGTTTTCATAGATCAGCTTCTTTTGGGTTCTCTGACAAGAGACAAAAGTACTTATTAGGATCACAACACATTATTCTTTACACAGTGTGAGGTCTGATGTACCTTTTGTAGGAAATGACATTCAGACAGGCGGTATTGGTAAATTGCTTCCCCCCCATCAGCTGTCCGTATGAACTTGGAAGGAAAACAGCTGCCCAGGAGAAGCCTGAAGGGCTTTTCAGCCAGGTCTTTGTTGACCTTCCATGTAACCATGACTGAGTTGTTTGTACATTTTATATAAATGTCTGGATATTAAAGAAAAAAGGAAAATAAGTAAACATCAGATTTTATCAATATCAAAGTAAAAGACCATGCATGCCTTAAAGCTCTTACTACCTTCATAGCACAACACTGACACTGCAGTTACACAAAGAAGAAAACACTGCCTTAAGAAAAGCATGTTTGATGAGCTGGAACAGAGTAAGCAGCTGCTGATGCACTGGCCTGGCCTGGCCTCGCCTCACCGAGGGCAGCTGATATAATTTCACTCCGGTCCAACCAATCAGCCTTAAAACAACGAGCACCTGGCAGGGGCAGAACGTCAAGGACTTTGGGTTGAACTGTTTGGATCCTAGTGGCGCCATCAGTTGCAGCCTTTTGGAGTTTGAAACTCCAAACCTTTCAAACCATCTAGGCAGCTCTTTTATACAGAAATGGGAGGTAATATTTGAAAAACTGGGTTAAACCTGTTAACAGCAAGCTCAACAACTAAAGTGCTCCATGTCAGTCGATGAAAAAAGCAATGCTTATGGTAGTACACTGAAAACTTCCGTGATAGGGGGTGCATATGGGCCTTAAAAATCCTTAAAAATAATAATTCTTATTTCTTTTTAACATTTTTCAACATTGAATTTAATAAAACATGCAATTAGCCATTCAAAAATGTGGTAACCCATCTAAAATGGCTTGTTTGTTGACACTGGTTTAAATGGGAATTCCACATTTTTCAATATGCATGCACAAATCAGTTAGCGAGATGTCCTGTGGGCAGCGTCCTGTGACCACTGATGAAGGACTAGAGGATGACCAACATAAACTGTGCAGCAACAGACGAGCTACTGTCTCTGACTTTACATCCACAAGGTGGACCGACAAGGTAGGAGTGTCTAATAGAGTGGACAGTGAGTGGACACAGTGTTTAAAAACTCCAGCAGCACTGCTGTGTCTGATCCACTCACACCACCACCACATCAGTGTCACTGCAGTGCTGAGAATGAACCACCAGCCAAATAGTACCTGCTCTGTGGGGGTCCATGGTGGTCCTGACCACTGAAAAACGGGGTAACAAAGTATGCAGAGGAACAGATGGACTACAGTCTGTAATTGTAGAACTACAAAGTGCTCCTATATGGTAAGTGGAGCTGATAAAATGGGCAGAGTGTAGAAATGAGGAGGTGGTTTTGTTGTTACGGCTGATCTATGGTTGTAACCCACTGCGCCGCTTGTCTCCATTTGGGGGCGGTACACCGCTGCTCTGGTCGTTTTCCTACAGACGAAGGAGATCACCTTCACGTCGTGGCTGTATTTGTTATTTTGCGACAAACGCGGCTCTGATAACTTTATTCATTTTATCCGAGTCTAGTTTGAGCGGTGGACCAACACACTCGTCTCCAACTACTGAGTAGCAGCGCTTTACGGGTCTGTTCTGAAGTAGAGCCTCCAAAATGCTGATTAAGGTTAAGGTAAGACTCGCTCTCCTCTACAGGCTAACGGCTGCTAACGCCGCTCTCCGGCTGATAAAGCAAGACTTTATCGCTTTTGGTTCGTCATTTAAATACATAACGTTGTCCTGGGTGAGTATTAGACATTACTGACCCGGTCGCTTCACACAAAGCTGTCGTTGTAGCTGTATTTGGCTTTCTAATTGAATTTCACGGTCCACCTTAAGTGGCGCCGCAGTTATACTGTGGCTCTGTACAGCTGCTACAATGCCAGAATGGCACTGCTGCGCCATTTAAGGTGGAACGGAAAATCGTTAAGACAGTTTTAGCCTCGTCTATTACATTTTTTTTTTGTAAACTAATGAAGGGATATTGCTAAGATAAGTATAACCGCTTCCTGTCTGGCTTCTAGTCTCATGAAATTCATCCTCTTTTTTATTAAATAAAAATAGCTAGTTTATGGTTATTGAAATGCACATAAATATGTCTAAGAAGAACAAAGAAAAAGATTGCAAGGGCTTCAAATAATTCTCAAGCAAGTAAAAACTGTCCGACTCTAGTGAGTGCTTTTACATTCAGCATTCCCACTGAAAGGGGAATTCCACCCATTTTTCACAACGCCGTAATTCAGTGGTTGAGATGTACACGGTCGTTCAGAGTGGTCTGATGTGAAAATGGTTCATTGCAGAGAAACTTGCTCAGTGTCCTTTACAGTGGTGGTGATAGGAACCAGGGGTCGCCATGTCTACAACACAACTAAACCCACCAGTGGACCTACACGTGTCCTCTGAGTGTTTGTGTTATTGTGTTATTTTATAATGGTAAAATAGAGCTAAATCTGAAAAAACTAAGTTTTCTTTTAGGGACTGTTTTGCCTTACAGTGCCCTGCATGTATCCCTCCGCCATGAATAGATTAAAATAAATTGATAAAAATACATTTACACAAAACTTCTATCACATCGGGCCCAGTACTCATAACCATTTCATCTAATTATTTTATGTGGGACTTTTGGTTCCTGTCACCAACACTGTGAACAATTCTGATTCTGTTTCTGTAGAATGAAGCATTTCACACAAGACCACTCTGAATTGCTTTGCTGATATGTCATCTGTTTAATTATGCTCAAATTTTGGTGGAGTCCCCCTTTAACAACAACTATCTTTACATTGAGGATGATAGGAACCAGGGGTCAAGATGTCAACAACGTATGTAATGTTGATGATAAGATAGGGGTAAATCTGAAACATTAAGTTTTCTTTGTGGTGGATTTTGCCAGTCTGTATGTAGCTCTCCGCCATGATATCCAAGCTATTTTCAGGCCAAAAAACCTCCTCAAACTATCGTAAAACAGCATCTCAGGCATCAGACAGCTTCATAACTATTTCTTGTACATATCTGTGAAGTAGCTTTTAGAGGCAATAAACTCTTTCATTTAATTATGCAGGAATTTGGCAAAATTGGTGGAATTTCCTTTTTAAAAATATCCTTTTGTAGCCAGAGATATCAGCCCTGTCTTAGATCATAGGCTGAATCTCAAGTGGCTCCCTTCTCCTTCTGTAGAGCACTGTGTGAGCAATGAAATTCTGTCTAGTGAATGAGTGGGTACTGATGTGGTGGTGGTGGTAGTGTGTTAGTATGTGTTGCGCTGGTACGAGTGGATCAGACACAGCAGTGCTGCTGGAGTTTTTAAACAGTGTCCACTCACTGTCCACTCTATTAGACACTCCTACCTTGTTAGTCGACCTTGTGGATGTAAAGTCAGAGACGATAGCTCATCTGCTGGATATTTTTGGTGGACTATTCTCAGTCCAGCAGTGACATTGAGGTGTTTAAAAACTGTCTGATCCACTCAGACCAGCGCAACACACTGTAACACACCATCACCATGTCAACGTCATTGCAGTGCTGAGAATGATCCATCACCCAAATACTGCTCTGTGGGGGTCCTGATCATTGAAGAACAGGGTGAAACGGGGCTAATAAAGTATGCAGAGAAACAGATGGACTACAGTCTGTAACTGTAGAACTACAAAGTGCACCTATATAGTAAGTGGAGCTGATAAAATAGACAAATAGTGGGGATACAAAGGGGTAATTAATGAAGTGGCCAGTCGGTGGATGTGCACTCTCCAGGACAAATTCCTTGCATGTGTAACATACTCGCCGAAATAAAGTGATTCTGATTTTTGATATCAACTAGATTTAAGACTAAAAAAATCTAAAGCTGCCGTTAACTGCCTTCATTAAACAAGTTACCTGCGGTTCCATTCGTCAGGTTTTGTTAAGTTCAAACCTAGAACTGAAGCTCTGTCTCTGCTGAACGTACTTCTTGAGACAGACCCCACATTCTGAAGATCTTACCACTTAGGTGTTTTCTTTCTTCCAGACGCTCACAGGCAAAGAAATAGAGATCGACATCGAGCCCACGGATAAGGTATGGATGCTAACAGCAACATCTGCCATGTCTGCTTTCTCCAAATGTGACTCATTGAATTGCAGCTTTAATTTTTTATTTATTTTTTTTTAATCCAGGTAGAGAGGATCAAGGAAAGGGTTGAAGAGAAGGAGGGAATCCCGCCACAGCAACAAAGGCTGATCTACAGTGGAAAACAGATGTAATCTTAACATTATACTCAATATTATGTACTTAACTTGTCCGTGAACTGTTGAACCACAGCCCTGTTCGCCTGTCTCGTTTACTTTGAACGTTCTGTCTTTTAGGAACGATGAGAAAACGGCATCAGACTACAAGATCCAAGGAGGATCTGTACTACATCTAGTCCTCGCGCTCAGGGGAGGCGGGATAATCTACTGACCCCTTAGTTTCTCGGAGCTCGCGGAACGGCTGTTCAGCTTGTGCTCCTCACAGAACTGATTATGGCTACGTATGATGAGAGCATGCGATTTCGTACATCCAGAACAAGTCTAGATATTCTTTTTATTTAGAAGTCTGAACAGCAAGTGGAACTTCACTTTGAGCCACATTAATGTACTGATGCCACCATTTCAGCAAATCATCAGAGCTTCTTTAACCGTCAGCCTCTGCAAAGGAGAGAAACAAAACAGTGTTGAAAGGCAAGGCCTGTTCACTTTAGTCCATTATGTTCGAGTGCTTTATTTTTGAGTATGTTGCAAACATTTTGTTATTTTTCTAACGAATAAAAGGATTTAGCTTTGTGGCTCATTCTCAACTGACGTTGACTGTAAGGTTATGTGTCCTAATCTTTGATTTGTGAGAATTTCAGATTAAGAAAAAATAAAAGCCATCCTGCTTTTGTTTGAAATACACTTTTATTTTAAAAATAAGATGAGGCAATAAAACCAACTCAATCCACACAAAATGAGTGATGATTCAATAGAACAGTAGAAGTTCACAGTCACAAACAAACTCAAAATGGGATCTGCTTCAGCTCTGGGTGTCGCAGAATGGGTCGGAATGGGACGGGTGCAGAGGAAGGCATGTCGAAAGAGAATTCCACTGATTGTTCAGAAATTCTGCATCATTCAATGGTCAAGGGTCATTCAGAGTGGTTTGATGTGGAATGATGGACTTTAGAGAAACGTACTCTGATTTCTTTCTTTACAGTGGTGATGTTTACAACAGAGTCAGTAAATCAACATGTGCGTTATTGTATATGTAATGTTAAACCAGTGCTAAATCCAAATAAGATGTACTTGGTGGCTATTTTGCCTCATAACAGCCTGCATGTACCTCTTCAGCATAACTGAATTGTTAAGAATGGAGTTATGAAATAAGTTTGGGGGAAGGATCACATCCAAAACCCCTCCTTCTCTACATTCTATGCCCTATAAATTCACCCCTCTCCCTTCAGTTTCCCGTGACTAGCCCATCTCCTCCCACTCCTCCATTACTGCTCTTGCTGAGGGACTGGCAGTCTGGCGTTCAGGATCTCAGCAAGCTGCTCCAGAACCCCTGCCCAAGCTTCTCAGACCTCCTCCTCAGCTCAGTTTAGGGTGTGGTCCAAACTCACAAAATACATTTCAGGCCAGAATCTTTTCTAAAAATGGGAGTAAAACAATATTTTGGGTATCAACCAGCACATTCATAACCACTTTGTGTAATAACGTTCTGTGAGGAAGCTTTTGGATGCATTAAATTCTTTGGTCTGGTTCCACCACACAGTGGACAAGCAGCAAGTTTCTCTAGAACAAAGCATTTCATATCAAACTACTCTACATGACTTTGTTTACATCTCAATTAAATGATGCAGAAGTTTTGGAAAATCAGTGGAATCCCCTTTAACAGGGTAAGGCAGTCAGAAAGGATTGAGGTTGTAGTCCTTTCAGCATTACTGTAACAGCATGTAGCCCTGCTCGCTGTCTGGTCAGTGTAGGATGGCTTGATGCAATGAGTGACCAGTCTCACCCATACTCCTCCTAGGCAGTTAATAAATACCTGAACATGTACAAGATTGATCGATAGTGTGTTGGTGCTGTCTGAAGTGTAACATGCATGAAATAGCAGCAGTTTTTCTAATGATGGAGCACATTAGTGCCTGGCTTCAGAGAAATAACAGTAAAGCGCAGGATGGAATCCACATATGCATGATTCCCTGCACACAGTGGAGAAAAAACTGGCCACAATTATGTTTCTGGCAGCCAAAATGTTCACACAGTATCTATATGGTTTATACTATATAGTATAATATTTACTTTCTCAAAATGCTGACTTATTATATCAAAAGAATGACTTTCTATCTCGTAATAATGAATTATTATCCTAAAGTAATATTTACTTTCTAAAAATTTAGTAGCTCATTATTTCCTCATAGCTTCTAAAAATCCAGAGAAAAGAAGCCATTATTTCATTATTACTGCATCAATATTTCAAAAAAGTAAGTAATAATTTTGAGATATTACATCAGTATTTTGAGACCCATCCGTGCAGTGAAACGCCACATACACACTTGTGCACGTACATACACACTTGTGCACGTACACACACTAGGGGGCAGTGAGCACACTTGCCTGGAGTGGTGGGCATCCCCATCCACGCCACCCGAGGAGCAGTTGGGGGTTAGGTGCCTTGCTCAAGGGCACTTCAGTCACACATACTGTCGGTTCAGGGGATCGAAGCCATGACTTTCCAGTCACAAGGCTGGTTCCCTAACCTCCAGCCAATAGCCAGAGACAATAAGTCATTATTTTAGAACATTAAGTCAATATCTTGAGAAAATAAGTCACTATTTCATCATATTACGTCAATTTGTATCAAAATTAAGTCAACATTTCAAGACATTAAGTCAATATCCTGAGAAAATAATTATTTCAACATATTAAGCCATTATTTTGAGAAAAGGGATTATTTAAAGATATTAAATATTTTGAGAAAATGTCATTATTTTCAGGTATGTCTATTTTGACAAAATAAGTCATGATTTTAGGACATTAAGTTGATATCTTGAGAAAATAAGTCACTATTTCAACATATTACATCAATTTGTTTCACAATTAAGTCATTATTTTCAGATATTAAGTCAATATTTTGAGAAAACAAGTCAGTATTTTGAGATACCGAGTCAACATTTCAAGACATTAAGTCAGTATCCAGAAACAATCATTATTTCAACATATTAAGCAAATATGTTGAGATAATAAGTCATTATTTTCAGTTATTATGTCTATTTTGAGAAGACAGGTCAGTATTTTGAGAAAGTAAGTATTCATTATTCCGAGGCATTGAAAACAAAAGTCATTATCTCAACATATTAAGTCAATATTTTTAGAAAATAAGTCACTAATTTGTGATACTGAGTCAAATCTTTTTTGAGAAAGAAATGCGATATTTCAAGATTTTCGATAAATATTTTGACAAAGTCATTATTTCCAGATATTTACTCAACATTTTGAGAAAATAAGTCATTTTTTCTAAACACTAAATGAATATTTTGATAAACTGCTGTCAGAACTGTAGCCAGTTTCTTTCTCCTGTACCTGGCGGAAATGGGCTTCCATAGCACTGCTTGTAAAAGTGGTCCTCACTTCTCAGAGGTATTCATTACTCCTTTTAAAGTAATATAAAAACATAATATAAAACCGCAGGACATCAAATTATTGAGGAATAATTCTCAATAAGTTAAGAACTGTGACTCCCTTCACAAAGTACTGTATCAGTGCCTTAACATGCAGCAGCTCTCAGTTCCAGGCCGGACTTGGAAAGGAGTCGATCTGTACCGTGTCCTGGAAGAGCGTGCCCTGACTGGAGTAGGACAGCCGAACCCGCATCTTTAGGCTTGCCTACAGAGAAAGATATGTATACAGTTAAGCAGGCTGTTGAGCAGCGCTTTGTGTAGAAAACCCACAGAAATGATGGCAGACTGAGTAACGGCTGACCTTGTTGGGGTTGTTGAGTAAGACGGTCTGGGTAACGGTACCGCGGCCTTGTGCTGGAATCACATCACCGCTTGGAGCCTTCATCTGAAGCTGAATGCTCTACAGAAGAAAGCAGTGAAGAGATATGTCATTATCCTGATAACCCCCTGGTTGAAGTTTCACAAGCAGGGGTTCAAATAGAGCTCCGCTCCAGTCCTGAAATGTAATCAAAAGTAAGTAATTTCTAATGCAATCTGCACGAAAATAACTATTATTAACTATTATTGTGTTTACATGCACTTAATAATCCGATAACTGCAGAAAATCAGATTTTGTCAGTAATCCGATCAACACGTTTCTATGCACTTGAGTAATCAGATAATAGGAAAACTCCAGGTCTACATGAATCAGGCAGTAATCGGATTTCTGCTTTGCAACCAGCCAATAAACTCACAGAAGAAGACGTGATGTAAACGTAACGTAAAATTCAAACTTCAAGCCGCGTTTTTTTGAACATTGCGCCAGTTTATTTAAAAATATGAACATACATCATCTAGAAGATGAGGAATATTTAAATCCCTAATTTCGTCAAGCATGTTTTTGGTTTCAGAGTCACTCCAAAAGTGTTTTGCTGCTTCTCGCGGCAGCGCTGCTTGCTTATTTCCGGTGCCGGCGTCTGTTTTCACACATGCGCAGACTGAGAAATCCGAAAGAAATCCGAGTAAGAGTTTACATGCGCTGAGAAATCTGATTACTGAGCTAAAATCCAGCTCTCTAGCAGATTTCTTAATTGGATTTCTAGACCTTACTCCGTTCTAAGAAATCAGAGTGTGCTGTTTACATGACCATTTGACTAATCAGATAACTGCAGAAATCCGATTAAGATCGGATTATTGAGTGCATGTAAACGCACTCATTGCACTCTCAGCCTTAAGCCAGGTTATTGCTTTTGTTTTTTTTTCCTGCTGTAATGTTGCATCTGCATTCTAGCGCGTAGGTAGCTAGCCTAGTTTGCCCGGATAGAATTGCCACTACTGAGGCAGCTGAAATACAGTCATAAAGTTTGAATACCCCCAATTTCTATTCTTTCTGCTGAGTTTAACATAACATGGGCATAGAATCATAAGGTTCTATCTGATCTATTAAAATGTTTTTAATCAATGGAATTTTCCTTTAATACAATGTCTAAGGTATTGATAAAAATCTTCTCACTTTAGGTACTGCTGCTTGTAGAGTGAAGCTGATGATGTCACTCTGAGTGGAGTTGGAGGCGGTGAAGGTGACCGTGACGCCCGTTTCTGTCTGTTTGTCGCACTGAAGTTTCAGACTCAATCCTCCCTTCTCATATACGGTCACACTGGGAGCTAAAAACACACAGGTATAAACATATATCAACAAAAACACACTGTTACACTATTAAAATCCACCCTTAAAAATGTCTATTCTGCAAGATGGTATTGGGTTTTGCTGAGATTAGTTTCTACCTCATTATTTTTTATAATTTTTAATATTTTAAATATGACAATTTATTTTCATCATATTATTTTATTTTTTTGAATTACATTTTTATCTGATTAGCGATTATGTCATTGAATGTCCTCTTCTAAATCGAAATAAAATTCTATTATATTATTTTAAGCAAATCTCCATGTTACATTCATTTGAAATCTATCAGCACAAAACAAAGCCTTTTAAATGTCTCAGAGAGACCAAAGGAGTCTCATTTCTCATGCAAACAAGAAACCCATTTTTTTTTTTATTTGACGAGGTATCATCGCTGTCAAATCAAAAACAGAGAAGCACCCCCAAATCATGATGCTCCCACCATCGTACTTCACTGTGGGTCCTGATCATACGCACAACCCTTCTTTCTCCAAACATAACGACCAAAGCAGCTCTGAATTGTCTAAGTGCCTGTGTGCAAATTTTAGATGCACATCTTTTTTAGCTAGTTTTTGTTCCCTGGTTAATTGTTGTTCCTGTTATTTTAGCTCATCCTGCAACCCTTTTTGAGAGGCTGCTGGCTTCCCTCTTGCCTTCCTTATCATTAGTTGGAGAGTGTTGAGAAAACTTGCATGGCACATCTGTCCAGGGATGTTTAGCTGTGGTTCTGTGAACTTTACACTTGCATATAATTAAACCAACTGCACTGACAGGTATGTTCTAGGTCTTTGCTATGGCTCTGGAGCTCTTTCTATTCCAGTGTTGTTTAATAATTTTGTCCCTGAGAACTTTAGGACACTCCTTAATCTTCACCATGAGTACTACTTGTTGCATAAATTCTTCCCAACCAATGGCAACATCTTTTATGGTGACACCTGATGCAATCTGCATGAGAATTTTTTTGCAGCATAATATATAATATATGATATATATACCCATTTATTTGTATGTAACCTTTATATATATACCAACTGGCCACTTCATTAAGTACCTCCTTGTTTCTACGCTCATTGTCCATTTTATCAGCTCCACTCACCATATAGGTGCACTTTGTAGTTCTACAGTTACAGACTGTAGTCCATCTGTTTCTCTGCATACTTTGTTAGCCCCCTTTTACCATTTGTGTGTTCATTTGAAGTGTGTATATTTAATGGAACTGTACTACCTGACAAAAACAAAAGTTCTGAATACTTGTTTCCACTGTATGTTTCTATTACTTGTTAGCTACATTGGCCTCAAAGCTCCAGTGAAAAGTTTAAGTAAAAAAGCATATTTCCGATACCAGGTGAGGGCTCCAGTCCTCCCAGCAGATCCAGCAAGTTTTCTTGTACACTTGAACTGGTCGAGTTGGGTGTGGTTTTGACTTGATTCTGGTTGGCCTGGGGAGACGTCTTAGTTTCACCCAGCAAGTCCAAAAGATCACACACCTAAAAACAAGAGGGGTGAAAATCCAGTTGAACATGGTAGCCCACCAACAGTAGCAGCATATGAGTCTGTCTATTTTGATCACCTGGCTTGCAGGCTCTTGGATCAGTACTCCTTGGATCGGTTTAGACTGGTTCAAATCTTTAGTGATCTCTCCACTCGGATCTCCGTTAGTGTGACCAGGCGAATTCTTATCCATTATGGGCATCCTCTCCAACACGGCTGCCCTGTCCAGATGATTTAGTTACTGATTCACATGCAGTTACATCACTGAATACGAGCATTCAACTATTAAAATCTTACAGACACACCTAGAAGCCTCCATAAGTATTGATACTGACAGACCTAAAGTGATAGTTTGGCCATTTTCCCTTTAAACATGGTTGATCAACCAAGATATGTTTGTTGTCCAAAGTTTGTTTCCTTAACTTTGCACTGTAGCTACAAGACTAATCTAACAAGTAATGAAAGATTATAGTTACCCATTACCCATAGCTGCCAGAGCAACAGGGGCGTATAGGTATTTAAAATACCTTTTTTTCAAACTACTGGGGCGACGCCCCACCACTTTTTGATTGACTTCAGGCTGTTTTTTTTTAAATAACTGTCTTAGATCTCCCTAGCTGCATGCCCTCTGCCCTTCTGCATGACCACTGCCGTCTCGCGGAGCCAGATGTGATTGAAAATGAGAAATTTTGAGCTAAATGTGGGTGGGAACGTAGACTTATTAGGATGGGAGCAAATTGAGCAGGAAATTTTTTAAACCAATCCAAAGTTTTGTGCAAGTGGAGCTCAAAGTAGGGGGTGATGGTGCGCTCGTCAACACTGACCGATAAATAACAATAACAACAATAACAAATCTGTTGTGAGCCAGTAGATGTAATGTAAGTTAGCATGGCTGAAAAGAATTACCAAAACTCCAGTTAAACATGTTATGCGGAGAACAAATAAACATTACCTCTTGCAAGAGAAAAAACGTTGTTAGCTTGGATGGCCATTTGCTAGCTAGCTTGTTTGGCTTGCGCTGTCACTGTATTTCATGGCGTTAACAGAACATGGACTACAGAAATTTGGGGGTGGGTGACTCTTGTTAGCAGTGGATTTTGGCGTAGTTCAGCACCAGAAGTTTAACAGGTTGCCCCGAGCTGTGTATTCCATTGTGAGACAACTGCCAAGTAGGCAAGAAGCCAGATACTCAAATTCAGTGGTGAAATCAATTTTAGCTTGGATATTTCCCAAAAAGCAAAACCTGCATGTTTTCATGTTTAGTGAGAGGACTGCTAGAAGCTAGAATTTGAGGTTCTTTCCGAGATGTGAGTTAGCAAAGTTAGCCAGCTGGACGGAGGCCAATAGCCCTCATTCACCAATATCTTCCCAAGTTTATTCCTAAATTTGTTCTTGAGAAAGGTCCTAAAATAAAGTCTATGTCAGATTAATGACGTGTTCTTAAACCGCAGAACTGTTCACACCTTTGTGCTCTTGAGTGTGTGCAGGTTCTGTTCTTACTTAAGAACAAATCCCAAATAAGAAAACATTGGTGAATGTCATAATCTTCATAAAAACTGCGTAAATGGGCTTTAAGAAGAAATTTCTTCTTAAGAACCAACTTTGAATCGGTTGACACCGACACTGACCACAAAAACATTATTATATAATAGCTACGACAGCTACTATATAATAACATGCTTACAATATTTCAGCTACGATAGTTCAAGGTGGGGAACTGAGGGCTGGAGTTCAGCACAGGTGATTTCCAAACCAACAACACCTGGCAATTAGCTAATGGGTTCAATCAGGTGTGCCTAAGCAGGTAAATCACCAAACTGTGCAGGAATCCAGCCCTCCAGGACTGGAGTTCCCCACCTCTGATATATGTAATGCTAAAACTGCACTAATCGTACAGTAAACGTAAAATACTAGTTACCACGCAGATCACCACAAAATGAGACTGTGTGTATGCATGTTTGTACATTAGAACAGACAAAATATGGGCACATCTTGAAGAGACCACCCTTGAACAACAGAGTGTAATTCAAACGCTGTACTTTGCACATTGCTAATTGGTGGCTAATAACTCTTGAGCATCCTCAAAGCTCTAGTACAAAACTAAATAAGCAAATTCTGGGGACTAAACATGTCTCTGACTACATTTTAAGGGGAAACTACATTTTTGGCCAACCTTTGTGAAATATGATGCAATTATAAACAAACTCTAGTACTGATAGTATGATGAGACATGATGAGGTACCTCATGTGGTCATATTTCTTGAAGAGAGCGTTGTACTCTACTGCCCTTTGTTGGAGTTCCACATCAATGCAGCTGCCGTAGATGCTGACTACACTCCTGATTCGACTTTTTGAGAAAGGGAGAGGGACACAAGCGTTAATCAGGTTTGTACTTTACTGCCCCTTCACCACCCTCAGATGTTGCTTTGGTGATGATGCGTAACTTGTTTATAGTGTTCTATCATATTGTAAACTGAGCTCTTACTCAATATTGTTTGTGATGCGGGTACTCAGCTTCATAATAGCAGTCAGAGCGAACCCTCTGGATGTAGGGGACGACATGTGGGACTGCAAGACTGTTTCCAAAACATCTAGGACATCATCTTCTGTTACCTAGTGACAAAATGAAAACACAAAATAGGCCAGATGTGTTAAAGACCTGTAAAACAACACAATGAGCCAGATTAATAAAACTGTGATAACAGTGCTATGCCACACAAACCGTGGGTCACGGCAAATACGAGCTACTCATAAAGTACTGTGGTGATGATTGGCACACCAGTGTCTTTTTAACGCTACAGTATTGTCATCTGTGTCCGAGGCAAGAGCCAATCAAATTCCACATGCATATGAGGTTATACATGGTAAAGTCCAATGCTAAAGAAATGAAAACAAAGAAACAAAGAAAATTTCATTTCTCAGAAACAAAGCTACACATTTTAAAAGAAATGCTGCAAATAACAGTAATTTGTTTGGTAAAGATGCTTTAACTCATTGATGAGAATTCAAGCCTTTTTCCAATTCATTATAATTGCAGTAACAATTTATACTGACATAAGGTATAAGGTAGTATTTTTTCCGACACAATCAAATTAAATTGACATGCTTAAATTCTAATCACTGTGGCAGTCCAAGCCATTTTATCTTTTATTCCCCGTTTTCCTTGATGTTGAAATCAAATTTCAACATTTTTTTTAACAATAAGATTAAGAGCTAAAATTCTTTGCAGTAAAATCAATTTAAACATGATCTCAGCACATCTGGATAAATCTTTAAGATAAACCTTTCTTTTATACCCAGGAGGAGGATGTGTGAAACATCAAATTTGATGCAGAAAGCAGGGACTGTTTTAAGTACAATGCCAGTACTGTGAGAGATTTGTGTTTATATATTATCTTTGCTTTGTGTACGTTTGCAGGTAAAAAAAAAAGCAACACAAATCTGAAAAGACTTGCTGTGTGTAGCCTCTCAAATTGGCTACCAGGAGAATTAGGGGCAAATGTTGTGATAAATGAGTAAGTGATTAGTTTATCAATAATCCACATCAAATTTGGGGCTCCCAAGTGGTGCAACCACCAGAGTTAGTCCTCTCATCTGGAGATATCACAGTCATCCATGGCTGGGAATTCAAGACAACATAATTGGCCTCTCTCTCTCTCTCGAGGGGTAAGATGGCCCTCCGTCGCCCCATCACTCAGCATGATGCGAGCCAACACAGACATCTGTTAGCTGATGTAACAGAATTAGCACACAGCATTCTCCTCCAAACGTGCTGAGCTGTCCAATGACGTTGTGTTACCAGCCGTTTAAACAATACAGTAGTTTACTCCATGTAACCCAGAGCACATGCTAGCCGTCACTCTCCCAGCTGGATAGCAGCATGTGATGGGGGGAGACCTAGCTAGCAGGTTGGAACTGACCAACTACATTGGGGAAACATTATACTTGGTATTTTCTCTACCTGCATGGGCTCAATCTCATCACAGTCTCCTTTCAGCAGTAGGTCACCGTACTCCCCTATACACCAACAGGCTACCTGAACCAGAGATTGCTGCAGGAACACAAACACAGAATATCACACACTCATAAACACCTCTAGTACTGTGCAGAAGTCAGAGACCACTCTTTATTTATTTAATTTCCAGTCAGAACAGCCAAATTATTCATTTTTCAGTGTCAGAAAAAGAAAACGGGCCACACACATTTAACAGAAACTACACAGAAGCCTAAAAAACTAAACATAGTATATTTTATTAATATTTAGTTCATTATTCTTGATTTGTAAATTATTATTTTTGATTTGTAAATTTTCTTCTTTCTTTTTTTGCCCATTTCCTTTCCTCAGTAAGGAATAAAACACAAAACATAACTTTTGCACAGGCCACATTTTATGTTTTATTCATTTTTCCCAATATATTCAACTGCAAATTTATGCAAACGAACAGTATCTATGCATCAAAATGTGCAGAAGTGTGGTATCTGGACTTGTTTTCACTTGTTTTCACAAAAAAAATACTTTGACCTAAACTTTTGCATACGACTGTACTAATTTTATCTGGTACACCTACCACATACTGTAGGGGCACTTTGTAAGTATGCAGTTCCCAAAGCCTTGAAGCCCGTCTTTCGCTGGATCCTCTACATGGCCACTAGAACCACACAGACACACATTCCCTTCTTACCTGTGAGATGTCGGAGATCAGCGCTCTGTAGAGTTTATGAACTGTGTAGCAGTGCAGTTCAGATGCCACACTGATGAGCTGAATCAGGTTCGGCACGGTCTCATCTCTCACATCGCCCCCTGCCTGAGGAAGAAGGTATGACAATAGCAGTTTAACCAGTCAGTCGTATGTTTCGTTACCAGTTTTAACATGCCCTCGTCCACTTGGCTTCGCTAGATCCCCTCAGAGAAATCCCCAGCGCCATCTCAAAGACCCCCTTGTACTAAAAAAACGTGTTTTAAATCCCTAACCCTTTGTGGGTGGCTTTATTATGACTATATAGACTGATCTTTTTTTTATCAAATATGTTACTATAGTGCAGAGTTCACATTTTCCATTAAAAATTGCTTTTTCTTTGTGCATCCGGAAAATTCGATTCGTAGGGCCCTGGTAGCAGCTTAGTTCTGTATGTCATCAGTTTCCTCTGCTAGCTTGCTAGTTAGCATGCTAAAGGCTACATGAGCCTGACAACAACAAAATAAAGACACACTACGCCAAAGTTTACAGCCACACTTTTGCTCTCTTATGCTGCGAGTGGCCATTTGCGTAACCTAGGTGTGACGCAGTTCCAGGTTGGGTAGTAACGGAATACGTGTACAGCGTTATGTAAACCGGATATAAAAAGGTAATTATATTCTGTTACAATTACAAGAAAGAAGAGTCCCAATTTATTTGAATAGTCCACTATAGCCCCCTATAGATTATCTACAGAGAGTCAAATTGTTAATAAACTATCTGTTGAAACTCTTGATTCTGAACAGTGGTGGGGTTAGGATTAGGATTTGGACCAGGGTGAGGGTTGGGTTTAGGTTTTGGGTGGAGGTTAAGGTTTGGGTTAGGATTAGAGCCAGGTTTAGAGTTTAAAAAAAAAATTTTGGTCAATTTAGTAGATATTTAGTCGAATGTAACTCGAAAGTAAATTAAGTATTTACAAAGCATCTAAAGTGGACTATCCAGATAAAGTTTTACCCCCCAAAAAAAAAGGAATATTTCTAGCAGGATCTATAGAAATTGCGAAAGAAAGTGCTTTACTTTCATAGACAGGATTAAGATCTGCAGAGTTTTGATATTTGAATCAGGCATTTACCCTGGTTTTCCAGATTCTACAGCAGCAAGCGGATCTGGAGCCGATCAGTGAGCCAACATTATGACCACCTCCCTGGCACCAAGACAAAGCAGATCCTAGCAGATCTTAGCAGATCATTTATCTTGGTAGCAAGAGATAGAGACTGTGATGGTACGGATAGGTCTTCTTCTTCTAGGGCAGCGCAACACCTTGAACTCTTCATCACCTTCCTCAAACCATTCCCAAACAACATGTGCAGCGTGGCAGGGCCTATTATCCTGCTGAAAGAGGCCACTGCCTTTGGGAAATACCACTGCCATGAAGGGCTGTACTTGGTCCACGGTCCAATGATGCATAGGTAGGTGGCCCATGCCAAACTGACGTCCATGTCTGTGACATGGATGCTCATGTCCAGGGTTTTCCAGCAGAACATTGCCCAGAGCATCATATTCCTGCCATGTGATGTTAAAGAAAACAGGACTCACTGGACCAGGTGACTTTCTTACCAGGCAGTTTTGACAGGATGGCAAAGTTTACATATGTTCTTGCAATGTTAATGAGAACCGGTGGGGGTGGGGGGGTTGATGGAAGGAAAAGAGATTGGAGAGTTGTTCCAACGATAGCGAAACATTAATGGTAGATACTCACAATGCTAATGTGGGACCCGGGGGATGGAGTTGGGGGCTTAAAGGCACAAACAGCCGCCCCATAGTGAGGTGGAAGGAAATGACGTGGCAAAAATTTTTGGGGTGGCCAGTCAGACTTTAGGGAAGGCACTGGTCACCCCAGCCACCCTTTTAAAACTGCACACACCCCAAGGTTCAGTTCTGGCAAGCCTATTGTAGGTGCTTTTGAAAGTGGACAGGGGTTAGCATGGGCACTCTGACTGGACTGTGTGGTATGCAGCCCCAAACACAGCAGGATACGATGCACTGTATGTTGCGACATATTCCACTTGTAACCATCATTGAAAAATTTCACTTAATCTGTGAGTGGCCATTATGTTTTAGCTCATCATTGTAAGCTCTCTGGTCTCGTCTGTTGCTGTGTAAAATTTTACAGTATAAATCAAACTTGCTAATGTGCTGAAGTGAGCTGGCATTAACCTCAACTACAAGTGACATATGAGTTTTTCGAATGACGCTTGAAAAATGTTAGTGTGAACTACAACAAGTATCTCCTATTTCATTTTCGTGTGAAATTAGTTCCTTTCGAACTCAGAGTACGCGCTGATTTCTGTGGACTACCAAACTGCTGAGAGCTGAGGGGCCGTGTACAATGATGGTCAGTCAGAGTTTTTTTAGAATGACCACTATTTATAACTATTGTTGGTGAGGAGTCTCAAAAGAAGAGTCTACCAGACTGACCTTTTGATTTGACAAACAATTAAGTCACCTATAATATTTATCATTTGATTGTCTTTTGTCTTTAAGACTTTAAAACGACTGAAAGTAACAAAAAGAAGTTCAGATTACATCAATTTAATACTGTAATCATTTGGATTATGTTAAAATAATATTTGCTTCCACAGTAAATCAGTAATCTGTACCAGAATACATTTTTAAAGTAACCCCCTCGAGCCTGCACACACGAGTCGAAGTGGACGAGGGCATGTAAAACTGAAACGGGACCCAGTGTCTGAGTATAAAGTATGCATGTGTCTGCTCGTGGAGCTGTACTGTGAGGGTATTTACCGTGATGAGGACATGCAGGATGGTGTCAATGTGCCAGCGCTGAGAGGGAGCATACCTGACAGAGACACAGAGAAAGGAGGTCTGCCTCTGATGGGCTCAGGCCACCATGCTGAACACATGCATTCACTAAGCACCTTAAAGGGGAATTTCAAACTTTCTGCATAATTATATTATACATTAACTAATTCATTCAGTGTATTCTGTGTGAAATGCTGCATTCTAGAGAAACTTACTGAGTCAGAATTATTCCCAGCATGATTAGTAAGAATAAGATGTTAGGGCTGTACAATATTGAGACAAAACACAATGTTCGATAACGACGATATGAACAGAGATTATTATTAACTTGTGTACCTCTGACAGGATGTGACGCAAGTACAGACTTTTTTAGATGTGTAAACAGAAATCTTACAGTATAGAATTACAAATTCATTAATGTGCAAAATCAGAAATTAAATACTAACAGCTCCTTACATCAGAACTGCAAGCACATTTTTTGGTGCACTGAGAGGCAGAGAGACAGTCAGCATTACCTCCACAGCTTATTCTATGAAGACTACAAAAACAAGTACTCATATTTATTAGGCACACAAGAACGAATACATGCGTTTGTTTATTTATCTATTTTTGCTTAATTATCAAATACGTTTGTTGTTACAGTAGAAATTGCTGCCTTGTATACTTAAAACAAGACTGAGTGTGAGATCAATCCTAATATTTGATGTGTTTTTACAGGCTCACAAGCAGGACAGCAGGGTTGCAGTACAGAGAAGCACTCATTAGGTTTCTAAAAGTTTGTGCTGGTGATGTAAAGACGTCTCTATGGTGCTGCGTGTATGAAGTAAATTAATCTGTCTGGTCATCGCCGCTTTTATGATGTGTTCAACGCGGAAACTCATATCGTGATAACGATAAAAATACGATTTCTGGTACAGCCCTACCAGATGTCCAAAACGTTTAATGGCTCTAAAAACTAAATTACAGAGTTTTTTTTTTTACACAAAATAGTTACAATACATTGCCTGATGCCTGAGGCCTTGTCCACACTTATCCAGATTTTTTAAGAACGTAGTTTTTTTTTCCCTTTTCATGACTCAAAACGACTCAAAAATACTTGCATGACAACGGCAGCCCAGTAGGGGGCAATAAAACCCATTACAGATTTATATCATACACCTCTAGTGGCCAGTTGCATCAGCTGTGCATAAGTTCAAACACAGGCTAGTTGTAAAGTAAGTATTTACTAGTTCAGGTTTATGCATTACTAAAACAGAACAGGCTGCACCACACACTAGTTTTAAGGCAGTTTTGGGGAAACCATCAGAAACCACATAGAAAGCACAAAAAAAAGACCAAAAACATGACTTTTTTGGTTAACTAAGCTAAAAACTCGAAAAGGCTATACGCTGCGATTTACTTACAGCTCTAATCACCTCCCTGGATTTAACTCCAAGCATGAAGTTAAACACATACAACTTCAGCTCTTCTTCTATGCTGGATATTTTTCCATGGGAAAAGTCCAAACAGGCTGCCATCATGTTTCCATGGCAGCAGGTTTACTGACTGATTCTGAACATGTTATCGTCATGTTAAAGCGATGCACGCATGGTGCAAGTATGGATTTGTGGTGCAAATAAAAGTAAAAGGATAGTTTGAAACTAAGGACGTAGTAAAGAGTTTACACCCAACTTTAAGTACAAACTTATGCAAAAGTGGTGTAGCCCAGTCCAGAAGAATACTGTGAGCACACTGCACAAAATATAGAGCGTGCCTAATTTTCTAATCACGTGACAGCGCTGTGTTTTAAACAGAGTGGTCAATATATAAGTACAAATACAGACACTGACCTGCAGGCCATCAGAAGTCTGTAATTTAATAATTTACACAGATTCAAAACCCGCTTGAAGTTTCGCCAAAGAAAAAAAAAATGAAATCTTTAAAAAGCCAAAGAAAAACATGGGTAGTTTATGTTGCTCTGGCTATGCCAACATCTCTGAAACAAACATAGTCAGAGAACCTGAGATTCTAGCTTTTCATCCCATTTGAATTATGGAGTTAGAACTGATTTTGAATCTGGCTTTGATTAATGATCATCAAGTCATATATATTTAGAATCATTGAGGTTTTGTTAGTATTTGCAGTTGGGGTGACACCACATTTACAAGAATGCGTGTAGCAAAATTCATATTTTGGTCATTTAATGACTTCATTCAGAGGAATCAGTGGAATGTTTTTATTAAAACCCATTTAAAGGTACATGTAGGGTGTTGTAAGGCTAAATAGCCCCCAAGATAAATGTGGGTTTTCAGCTTTAACACTATTTTAATATCATCAACATTACATGTAAAAATTCAGACGAAACATGTAGGTTCACTGGTGGCTTCAGATAGTAAATAAAATGGCTGCATTTGCACTGTAGACTTTGCAACCCCTGGTTCCTATCAGCACCACTGTAAAGAAATCTGAGTCTGTAAGTTTTTGTATAAGGAACCATTTCACATCATACCACTCAAGAGCTGAATTACTCAGAAAATGTTTGTAATCAGTGCAGTTCCCCTTTAAGCTGGATACAGGCAAGTTTAGATGTGTGAAGCATACAGTGGAAAGTAAGTATGGACAAACTGAACAAGCTCATCAAAATCTGAAGGTGCACTAAAGAATACCTTTCAGCAGCATTGAAGATGCCAGACGTTGTGTGGGATCTAAGCTCTGGGGGACAGCTAGAGAGGAATCGAAGGAGCTCCTTCATCATAGAGCGGATATTTGCAGCGGAGACTAAAGCCAACGACAGCTCTAGTGCACGACTAGAGGAGAAAACAAGGACAAAAGTTAAACTTTTGAAATGCTTTAAAAAGAATTCAAACAACCTTAAAGCCAAAAATGACATTTTCATTTCATTAATTTACCAGTTATACCCAAATATAGTTGATTAGCCAAGACATTTAGTGAACTAAACACCTTTGCTTCTTTAGTTTGCACTGGAGCTATGAGGCTAATGTAGCTAACAAGTAACAGAAGCCACCGAATAGCATTGTGTAAACTGCATGTCTAAATTACCACACACTCGGCTCAAGCTGTGTTAAGTTGTTAAGAAATCTCAAACACATTTGCTTATGTGCTTACTGACATTGTATAACATGCTACTATCTATAAACAATACACAAAAGTACAGACAAAATTTCATTTTGGAATTCCAATGTCGTACAGAAAAATTTCAAGACGTACTGTCCACTCCCCAACCCATACAGGTCATACGTATGAAAACTAAGCTAAAAAGCAACCTGTTTTGAATTCAAACCCCAACAAATTTGCATATATATATATATATATATATATATATACACACACACACACACACACACTTATTTTACATGTTTTGTTGAGCGAAAATAAGTTAACACATCCTCTACAAGGAACACACTTGAATATGGCATTTGTCTACAAATTTTAGTGTTTATTTTCTTTTTATTTTTCCCAATATTTTACACTCAGTATGTAAATAGTTGGACATCCCATTCCAAAACCATGGGCATTCATGTGGAGTTCATTTGTGCTTTACACCACTCCAGCCAACGACTGGCATTGCGCATGGTGATCTTAGGCTTGTTGCTGTCATGGAAACTCATTTCATGAAGCTCCAGATGCACAGCTCCTGCGCTGATGTTGCTTCAAGAAGCAGTTTGGAACTTTATAGTGAGTGATGCAACAGAGGACAGGCACTTCAGCTTTAGCTACACTCGGCAGCCCCACTCTGTGAGTTTGTGTGGTCTATCACTTCGTGGTTGAGCTGTTGTTGCTTCTAGACGCTTCAATTTTACAGTAATAGTGCTTAGTGTTAACTTGGCCAGCTCTAGCAGGGCAGAAATTTTACAAACTGACTTGTGGCAAAGGTGGTATGCTATGAAAGTGCCACCTTTAAAAAGTCACTGAGCTCTTCAGTATCACCCATTCTGCTGCCAGTAACTGTCTATGGAGACTGCATGGCTGTATGCTTGATTTTATACACCTGTTAGCAATGGGTGTGGCTGAAATACCTGAACTCAATAATTAAGAGGGGTATCCATATACCTTTGGCCATATACTGTATTTTAAATTCAAATAAACAGCAAGTGTGCAATAAAATGTGCAGAAACATATAATTATTTTTACTTAAAGCTAAAAGATTGGATTCATTCTGTTTGTACCGTTTTACTGAGGCATCCTGGTCCTTCAAGCAGTCCACAATGGTGCCCCTGTGCCGCTGCACTGCAGTGTGATCTGTCTGAACGATCTTCTGGAGTGATGTCATTGATATATACCTGAGACACACATGAGGAGAGACTCATCAAGCAAGTCATTGTTTAGGAGTTCAGGAGCTAATCAGAAGGCCTTATACAATAAATAAAGCCACAAGAGGCAATCTGTGGGGTCCAAGCACCGATCAGCTCAATGTGGTCTAACACGTCAGACTGGGGCCTTTACACAGACAGAGGATAAATGTTAAGGAGTCAGACTTGACAAAAGTGCTTCATGTGTTATGATTACTGATCAATCTTAGAACAGACCGACCTTTTGACACTGGTATACTAAGCGGCAGACTTTGAACAAATATGTCAAAATGCCAGACAAGCATTGTGATTTCTGACATAACTTGTAACTGCAAAGTTGTTCAGCTAGAAAAACTGAATGACATTAGACCTGTTATTTGGGAAGAAGAAAACGATATGAATTGGATTTTTAATTATGAATTATTTAATTAGTTTAATACGTCTCACTATGTGACCCCTGAAGGCCTGATTGATTGATTCCACTGTCAGTTCCTAATCACATTTTGATTACTTCTGGAAGTGGCGGCTGCTCTACCCCAGGGCTCTTTACTGAAAAAGTCATTGTAAAACTGCAATGTACAAGGTTGTTAATGTGTGTTATGAATATGGAATGGCTTTTACAAACTTCAAATGTCAGTTTCTAATCTAGAACAGCCAAAAAAGTTCATGTGCACCAGTGTTAGCTACAAACTACATACTACAAGAAATTCCATAGGGCATTATCACAAAGGTGGTTTCTTGTTTTTTGATCAAATTGTCAGGCCTTTACACACCAAGCGTGATTTATTAGTGTGATTTATTCAGATGACAATAAATAAATTCAAGCATGCGTATAATGGATGATCTCTTGCACACTAAATGCAAATTTTTGGACCCGACACTATTTTATTTGCCCTCAAGAGACAGACTTGAGAAAATGTATTTCAAAAGTTGTTCACTGCAGGTGAAATCATCTTAAATCTTGTGTATAAACCCAACATTTCTCATTTTGAGATTATTGTAAGAATGTTATGAGATTATTTAACTTATTTCTAGATATCAACTTCTTTCTTAAATTATCTGCCAATAGAATGACAATTTCTCTAGATAATGTTACTTAAAACAAATAAAAAATGTCTAAAAATAAGTTGAACAATCTTATAATATTCGTTCAACAATCTCAAAATGAAAAATATTAGATACCGATGAGTTTTGCATAAACGTTTACAGACAGAATTCAGAAACTGCCCATTGCCTTCTATTATAAATATGTTTAGAATAAACTCATTTTCTTTTCTTTTTTAAGCACAGGGAGGTGCATCCATAGTAACTAACCATAGAATACAGATGTGGCAGATGGAGATTAAGTTGGAGTATTCCTTTAAAGCATGAGCGACAAGGTCAACAGTCATCCTGAAATGGCATCTGAAAGGCATCAGCTGCTGAAAGCAGATAGGCCTGCTAAGCCTGATTGCTCCTGCACAACGCCTCTGGCTGACCCATATGGACAGATAAAAATCAGACGGTAATCAGATCCCTTGGTGCTGACGAACAGAGGCTGAGGCTCGAGCTTGACATGCTAACAGAAACAGCAAGTCCAGCCTGTTTGTACCCACAAGGAAGCCTTTAGATCTGTACTGGTTCAGACCTGCTGTGGCCTAGGATAAAACCTTTGAATAAGATGAACTGAATGAACTGATACAAAGAGACAGTCAGACAGACAGACTACAGCGCTATGTGGAGCACTCTACCGAATTTATTTCGAACTGCGGCCCCACAGTAAAAAAAATATTTAAAAAACAGACCTCAGATATTTACAAGGAATATGTTATGATCAATTTAACCCAAGGCATTAATTGAAATAGTAATAGTAATAGTAATTTTTTATAAATATATTAAAAATGATCATTTGTAGGGGACTTTCTACTGGGAGGTGGCTGTCCCAAACCCTCATCTCCAAATTTAAAAACGTGAAATTAATATTTACATATTTTTGTATTTTCTTACATTTTTTAAAGATTTTTTTTTAAATCCCTTTTCAAATTTTAAATAAAAAACTTCTAAATAAAAAACTTCACGTCCCATGTTTTCACGTCACTACTGAAACACAGAGTTTTAGTCCGTAGGTGGAGCCTTATTTAGCCACACCCCCTGCATTTTAGAGCAGGAAGTGAGACTGCATTCCTGTCCCTCATGGCCACATTGTGAGCAGTTAGATCCCATTGTTTTGAAGTAAATGTGTCCTAAAGTCAAATAGTGTGTAACATTAAAAACTGTCACTATCGAAACACACATTTTCTGCAAAAAAGTACATTTTTTTGTTTTAATAAAAATATGATGATTTTATGTGTGTACAACTGTTCAAAGCCATGTGTGTAGTCATGTACTGTATAGTGTTTTTGAGTTATGTTCAAATTTACCTAAAATTGTCACTACTGCAAAATTACCAAATGTTTCAGTAGTGACTGATTCGGTAGTGACAACTGTAACTAATTTCTCCAATGCCTCTGATTGTTTTGGTAGCAATAAAATGGAATGGTCAATCATTTGTTTTAATAAAATGAACACAATTAAGGCATAAGATCATTTAAAGCAAAATAAGTACGTCAGATGGAAGTCCAGAATGTGTTTTTAACTTTGACTTGGAACCAATTTGGTGGAATGTATAGGTGTAAAAATGCATTGATCTAAACATGGCGCTTCAACTGAATCAATTTTAGAACATCTGAATAGAGAACATTTACTAATAATGATATTCAACAAAGTAAAACAAAGTATATACTCATTTTGTTTTCTCAAGTTGTTTTCAAATGTAAAAATCTAATTAAATGTTTGGTGTATTGTTAGTATTGTTTTAATTTGTTTTATTATATTCAATTATCTGGTAAATAGCTAATCCAGTGATATTTATATATTTTTTTCTAAATAATTCTTAATCACATCAAAATAATCAAATTGGATTATTAAACAATATATATTATTTTGCAGTGAACAGCTTTTGCAAGATACTCTTTCCTGTTTGTGTAACAGTTATAGTTCTGAATTCGTGTTATACAGTCACATAATTGAAATGTTTACTTAAATACAACACAAAAAATATGTTTATTTATTTACTTATTTTAAGTGAATCAATTAAGAATCATCTTCTTATGACCTGTAATCAAACTGAAAAACTCACCGGATATTCCTATCATTATTTAGAAGAAACCTCCCCAAAATATTCACAGCAAGAACCTGTCAGGAAACACAAGCACACAGAGTTACTGTGATCTATTTGTAAAATTTCTCACATTTGCACCTGTACATCTTCTGGCAACGTCCTGAAACTGGGTTATGTACATAAGCCAGCATCAAAACAAGCCTGGAAAGTTCATTCTTACAGAGGTAAAACTCCTGGAAATGTTCTGGTTTGTTAGGTCACAAATACGCCTTTGTAAGTCCAGTACTGCACTTAATAGCATCCACTACTGTTCAAAAGTTTGGAATCACTTGCCAACTTATTTTATACAGTAAGAGTTTCTATAATGTGGCCTTAAATATTACAAACAATTTGCAAAAATGTACAGTCTGATTGGGTTTTTTGTACTATAGATCTACTGTTAAGGGTTTTAAAACAAATCAATGGGTAATTAAAGTTGTGTAACCACTAACTGTGAAATATAGTAAATTAGACTTATGATTTTGGGACATGATTTACATGTGATATTTATTCAAGGATAATTGTTCACCTGCTACAGAATCATATTAATCAGTAATTAGCCAGCGGCGATAATTAACCATGATTATTTCATTCGTAATATGGTATATGCACTATTAATGTCTCATATCTAATTTGTGTTTTTACATAATTTTGGATCTCTTTCATGTCTGACAGCACATTTTAGAGCCATCTTAGTTTGCTAGACATCTGTTTGGAAAGATCTCGATCATCCAGTTTCCCTTTTTGTAGATCTGAATTTCAAACATCTGCTGTCAATTTCCTTTTGACTTTTCATCTCATTTGTCAGAAAGATTTTGCTAAAATTATTAGACATATATGGATGTTATAACGTTAGTGGTAGGAAGCATCTTATTACAGCAGTATAACCTGTCAATAATCATTAACGAGAGAATGGACTTCTCGACTTGTCAGATGAAAAGGACAAAAAACTAAAAGCTAAAGTAACTAAAACTAAAAAAAAATGTCTCTGGTATACATTTTGTGCTGAATAAAGAATAAATCTGTTGTTTATAGTTTGATTTGATGACTGAGGTAAGAAATACACAAATGTTAGCTTGGTTATATTTGTAGCTTCTAGATCAGTGGCTAGGCTAGCAGTCAGGACTGTTTAACTCCACAGGGATTCCCAATAGCTGTGTAAAGTATTTGCGTAATGCATTCTCGATAGATTTCTCAGTAATTTTAGAAGCTCCGTTCATCATTCTGGACAATATTTCTGTTCACAATTTTATTTACAGAATCCCAGTGTCCTACTAATTATTATATAAAGCCTGTGAAGTTGAACAAGATTAGCATATTAGGATAATTTTATACATTCATTTGCAACCAAATTAGTTTTAAATTATTGAAAACACTGAATCGAAACTTAAACAGGAGTATAGTTATCTACAAAACATTTGGTCAATGAATAACATCTTCATCAAAGCAATAATCTTTATGATCTGAGGACCTGCTATTGTTTAAAACAGGGCATCTTCCGCCACGTTAAAACATCACATCCTCTATTTGCAGTATTTTTCTGATATGTGTGAACACGCTGGACGCAGCAATTGTCCAGCAATACACTGCACTGAGTTTTCCATCTGAAAGGGGTTCATATATAAGTGTGAGAGAATTATTATTATTGCGTACCCTGAGTCCACTCTCTGATTTGATGTCCATGATAGTGAGCACTGTCTCGTACAGCACAGCACTGCCTGCAGTCTTACTGCTGTCCGTGTTGGTGGCCACCTGTGCAACAAGAACGAACAGTAATCCTAAATGTTAAATACTAATCCAGATTCCACTGCTGTGCTTCACTGTCCTGACACAACCTGGTATCTCTGAAGTGGTGGCTTTATAGAAAGAGGAGAAAACAAAAGAGCAGCTGCTGTACAGAAAAATAAAAAACTGGAGAAAATATTTGTGGGCATTTGCAGTGGACAGTGAGAAAGAGAGGATGTAATTGGGCCTGTGCTCGGTGACTGTTAACCTAGTTATTGTGGCAACAGCCACCAGTGATGGTAGAAACTCATGTGCTGCTGCAGATATGATGCCTTTAACAAACGCTATGTTACTGCTACGTGTCATGCCTAAGAACACCCTTCCCCATAATAAAATCGCAGACACACAGGCTCTTAAGTGGCTTATTGCTTCCATAAAACAGTAGCCAACATAAACTACACTAAAATACCCCCTTTTTAGAAAATGATTCCAGAAAATAATACAGTTATTACGAATAATAATCAACATAAACAAGTATTCCGCCAAGAAATTTAGTTCCGTTAGCGTATTGTGTCAAGCAACCATGGACCGCTGAATGAGGAGAACGTTTGGTCGCACATCGCTGTATACTGCAGGCTTTTCATGAACTTTTTACATTTTTGTCATATAAAAATGAACATATGATAACGCAGCACTGTTCAATGCAAAAACTTCTGCTTTATAAGTACTTTTTGGTCACTAAATTACCGAGTCTTATTTAGCACCAATCAAACAGCGCCCCTCTTCTCACAATAGGGCTGAATCTTTAATTAACCCCTGCTCCCTACACAGTGCACCAGTTAAGTAGGAATTTAAATACTGGATCCTGAACCCCAACAGTGAATCATATAGCTAGGAAATAGTAATTTGGGATTCAGACACATCCACACTCAATAAGTGATGCACTATTTGGCTGTAGAGTTTCTAAACTTTCACAGCTAGCACACTATTTAGGGAGTACAGAGCCATTTGGGATTTAGCCTGGGTTTGACGCCACTTCTGACATAAAATATGAACATTTGAAGCGTGAAATCCATTCAAGTGACATTATTTAGACTTTTATACTGCCGTTTTACAGTTAATCATACTGTAAGTACTTTAATTCAAGCCTGTGATATTAATAATGGAGTTGTTTAGGCTGTTAGCTACCTGACCAGCCTAGTTCTAGTTAAGAATATAGGGTTCCAGTCGCTCAGTTTAAACAAAAAACGACTTCTTACTTCATCAGTACACTCGGTGGTCCATGGGAGCAGCAGGAGAGTCAAAGATTATTTCATTAACAGCAGGTTTTTTCGTGCTGTGGTGCCGTAATACATCATAGGTCATAGGCGGTCTGCGTATCTCGTAAATTTAACAAAGGCTTCGAATAGCTCAGCCAATCAGATTTTAAGACTGGATTGTGAGTAAATATGACAGTATACTACAACTACAGCACCGTTATTACATTTTTTCATTCGACAAATAATAACCTTAAACTTACACGTCGTCACCATGTTTGCTCTGCGTCCACTTCAGCGGACATTTGAAGTGTGTCAAAATTATAAGAAAGTGTTGCAATGATTTACGGTTGGCCCATATCCACTTGTTTTATACTTTTAAACTGTCTTTAGATTTTACCCCAGTATATGGTATAACTGAGTTGGATAAAGCATGAAAGCATCGTAAGTGTCGTTAAAGCGTCTATGTTGCTTTTTGCCGTCTTTGTGACGCGACTGTGAAGTCATTTCCAGGCCATCGTTTAATAAATTTGATCAAACCATCTATCTAACAATCGCTAAATGTTAAACAGTGCAGCTCACTAGAAGAGAGAAGCCAATTAGCATTAGCTTAACTAGAACGTTAACAGCTCTGCTTACCAGAGCGCATGTTTGATGCTGGGTCACTAAAGCACCATAAGTTAAGATGATAATGATTCAAATCTGAGGGAGTGACGTTGAGCAACAAGCGCTGAAGGGACTGAAATGCAAAATGAAACCTGTTCCGTGGTAACATTAACATTAGCTTAGCGATCAGGCTACAGACCTGTACTGTGGTGCCACACACAACAGTGCAGATTTGATTCTCCTGCTGAAACAAGTGTAGATCATCAAAATGAATATCTGAGAAAGCAAAAGTCAAGTTACTTGTGTTGGTGTGACAGAAACCTGAAAGTGGACCTGTTCTGTGGTGTTTGGGATGGAAGTGAACAATAGCTAAGCTAGCTGACCAAATGTGCCACACAGCACAGGCTTGGTTCCAGCTAACTGATGCTAATATGACAACGCTTTAGAGGACGTGAGAGCAAAAAGTCAAGTGACTGCGGAAATCGAGTGAAAGCTGAAATCGAACGCATTCTTAGTCGCAGCTGAACCACAATTGGCTGCTTTTGAGGCTTCTCTGTGTTTTTTTCCTGGTTCTGATTTTTCTATCTCAGCACCACCGATGAGCTCCCAAACCAACCTTATTATTAATATTATTATTACTATGATAGTTACTATTGCTATGTTTGTAAACGCTTTGTGGAAATACAAAACAAGACCCCCATCAAACAGATTAACCCTCTACTGTGGTTATTTTCCACATTACCACCACAGCATGGCAGCATATTCAAGACTTTTTTTCAAATAAAACTAAAATGCTTAATAAATTGTGTATTTACAATTCCGTTTCCCATGTAAGTGTGCATTATTTAAGACAATGCAACATGTGTATTTGAATTTGCCTTTCTGTGTATAATGGCCGGAAAAATTTAACATGAAAAAGCAAAAAGCTTTTGACATTTCATTTTCATTGTCTTAATGCTGTGACTCTGACATATTAAAAACAGAAAAACAATCACCTATTTACACATGCATTTCCTCAACATTGTGCTCCAGCTCTGCCAAAATTAGAATGGATTTTCAACCCTGTTTGCTATTGCATTTTCACTGTCAATCAGGTACTCCTGTCAATCAAACGCTGGGGGGTGGGATGTCGGGAGGGACATTTCAGTGAGGAAGTGATGAAGCAGTCTGAAGTTTGGTGGTACTGGATCATTAGCAACTGCTGCTAGTGACATTTTAACACTTGCCAGCCAGGCCGAGGATAATTCTGTCCAAAATGATTTTCTGTTGTTTTGTTTGGAGTGATTCTTGACTGACTAATAGAGCTTGTGGCTGCACAAGAATCAATATTAGTGACATTGTGACCAACTTCGAGCACAGCGTTTGACTGACAGGAGTGCCTGGTTGACAGGATTCAAAATACATTTTTACAGTTTGGCAGACCTGAAGCGTGACGATGAGGAAATGCAATTGCAAATGGGCGATTGTTATTCAGTTTTTAATGTCAGTCAATGTAAGACAATGAAAATAATATTAGAAATGCAAATGTAAACACACAATGTCTTAAATGATGCACACTTACATGGGAAATGCACAATTTAATAAGCATTTTCATATTTGCATATGAATTTGAAAAAATTCTGGAACGTGCTGCCAGAACGCACAGGCCTAGATGTGATAAAGGAAATGAGTGCAGGTGAGTGTGACTGTGTGCAGTGGTAGCATACTTGTGCAAGAAGGTCATTCATAGCATCACTTGCTTCATCGTTATTGCGGCCAAGAATCCTCAACAACCTGAGAACACGAACCTAAGAGAGAAGAAGATACACATAAAAATGAGAAGGCAGAATAACATCGTCTCACATGGTAGAAGAGCATTAAGCTGCAGTCACATGAGTAAAATCTGCCTGGCGGAAAAGCCAGTTCACTTGAATGGGAAAGGATGCAAGAACGTGAGAAATAATATGATGCAAAATAACTGATCAACGGTTAAACATGTCCCAGACTGACCTGCAGGAAAGGGTCACTGATGCCAGCTACGTTGTGTTCTGGAGAATAACCTGACGTGACCAATCCTTTCATTATCTGGACCAGCTCTGGAACAGCCTGAGAGGGAGGAATAAAATAAGCAGCAGACCAAAAAAAAAGTGAACATCCATCATTTTTTAAAATAATCTAGGTAGCTGTGTAAACATTATTATTGTAATAATAATGTTCATGTATCTGAAAAAAAACTATGTATAAACCCAAGTTCAAAGATTCAGGTTTATATAGGTGTCCAAGTAGAATGACTAGTTTCTAGATGCTTTTTTTAGCAGTGCTAAATTTCAAAATACATCATATATATATATATATATATATATATAATTAATAATTAACACATACATAATTGTTGGTCTCAAAAAATTCTGTACATTGCACCTTAGCGAACCCTAAATGTGGTTAAAACTGGCTTGCACTGTATTGACCAAAATTATTAGATCATATGAATATGCTTAATCATCAAAACAACCCGCAGAAACACTTCTGTGATTGTTGAGGGCTCATTTGCATATTGCAGCCTTCTGCAGTATAAGCATCAGTAACAATGGCCAAGCAATTTATTGTGCAGCTTGACTCTATGGCATGTCTTTGTTTTGCTTTTATATTACCTTACGGAACTCATCAAGGTTGTCAGGGTTACGTTCACACAGCTCTGTGATTAAAACCACAGCGCCGTGCAAAACTCCTGCAGAAAGAGAACAACACTTACACCGCTGAAATACAGCCCTGCCATTCTGAAATAGCAAGGGCAGGAAAATGAGTCGCTATCTTAGCTCTCAGTGGCATAAAACGTCTAGAGGGCATGTGAGAAATGTTAGCCTTCGGATGTTAAGAAACAACAGCAGTTAAAGAGATGATTTGTTTAGAAAAATGCAGAAAAACTACAGAAAAACAATGATTTGAAGGAATACGCTAGCATTTCTCAACCTAATCTTAGTCTGCCACATCAGTCAACTACCATGGACATTAGTTAGAAAAGAAGAGAAAACACATTAACTTAAACTCTCATAATACAAGCTAACAGGTAGATATCTCAAAGGCTTAAGGCTGCCTTTGTGCAGAAAGCTCCAGGCGCAGAAGACTTCAGCCTACATCATGCAAGCTTTTCCTGTGCTGACCAAACAGATCAGAACGAATGTAAGTCTTCAGTGACAGCTGTAATGGAAGAGGGATAAGTGGTTGCAGTAACCTAAACTGTATTATCTCCCAGATTGAATTCATAACATTAACAAAAAGCTTTTTCTCTACTTAATATCAGGCTCTGACCACCCTTTATTTAATATCCAGTCAGAACAGCAATTAGGCTACTATTAGGTTGTTTTTAAGGGGTAGAATTGATCATGAGTATTTGAGTACTCATTAGGAAACATCAGTAGTGTTAGGAAAACATAAATTTAACAGAAAAGTACACAAAAGCTCCAAAAACTGAATATAATATTATGTTTTTTAGTATTTAGCCTGTCTGCATTTTGCCTTTATTACAGCTTCCATTCTTTTCAGCAGACTCACTTTCCGTTTTTCAAAGAAACCTGCAGGGATATTTTTTTCACACCTCCAAAGTTCAGTCTTAGAAGTTAGTTGCATTTTTTACAAAATGGACAAATCTGGACAAATCTGATTTGCAAACTATCTTCTTTTTTGTTTATTTCCTGTCCTGCGATGGACTGGTGACCTGTCCAGGGTGTATCATGCCTTCGGCCCAGTGACTGCTGGTACAGGCTCCAGCGCCCCCTGGGACCCAGAAGGATAAGTGGTTTAGAAAACGTGTGTGTGTGTGAATATTTCCTTTTCTCAGTAATGACTTTGTAACTTTGGGCTTGCTGAGGCAGATGAGGACATTGGGTACGGGCGCGAGCGTCCTTTGTTATAGTTCTTATTCTGAACATCCAGAAAACAGGCAGGAAAATAAATGGTGTTCACTGAACACAAAACATGATAATACAGGGAATTAAACTGACCAAGAAGACTTGCGAACATTAACTAAAGATAAATACAAAAAAACACTTAATCAATTAATTTGTGGAATTCAGCAGCTTCACACTGACTTCTGTTATGTTTTATTTATTTATTTTTTTTAAGTAACCCATCTCGAAACTCAAAATTAGTGACCATACAATACAGACACAGATGTGACACATTAAGATTAGGTCGAAAAACAACGCAGTATTCCTTTAAACATGGAACACGTGTGAACAAAGAGTCTGAGAGTCTACAGAGAGAAGTAAAAACTGACCGTGGTTCTTGTCGGACAGCAGGGAGTGCGCTGAGGGAGTGAACAGCTCTCCTAGCTCAGGAATTTTCCTCACAATATGGACTGCACACAAGGCTGCCTAGAAAATCAAAATCATTCTTGTCATTAAAATGATTTTTCTTACAATCATCATTATCAACATCATCACTACAATGTGTTGGCCAAGCAAACAAAATGAGCAATGATTAATGTTGTTGCATTGACACAGTATTGACACACAGTTTGGACTGACCCCTGGGGTTCACTGACTAGTTGACTGACACATCCACTAGTCGGCGCTGTGGGTCAGTGGCTGATTAACCACGAATTTCCTGAATTTTCTGAAATTTAACCATTTCAGTGATTCGCAGCCGAAGCTGGTTTTTGGTTTCCAGTTAGAGCGTTTACATTCTGAACGAGTGAAGTAGTGGACGTTTGATCCAGAACCAAAACAAAAGCTAGGACTAGAAAGGTTTCAGAGCCTGGCAATTCAGTTGGGTTTCCAGTTCCTGACCAGGATGATCTCAGCATAGCTTCTGAAACCATACAAGACAAAGGCTTCTTAGAGCTGTTTGGTCAGTGGTGAAAGCTGGTTGACAGAACAGCCTTGAAACGTAGGTTTTTCACTCTATATAACCTACTAGATACAGACCTTTTTGCATTACTGTGGTGGCTGTGTTTGGACACTGCCCCATCCTTCGACACTTACAGAATGAAAAAACTGTGGCCTGAGATTACCTATACTGATATAGTGAACTATTGTGTCTTTCCTGAATGTATAGATGGTGAAGAGCTACAGAACTACACAAGCACAGAGGCATGCAGCTCCCTGCATAGCAGCAAAATAGGAAAGGTTTTGTCTGTAAGCTGAGGTAGAGCCAATTCAGAGCCTCAGCCAAGTGTTGGGGAAGTCCTGAAGCCGTGCAGCAGCTGTCTTATGGAAGACAGCTCAGCTATATCCAATTCGCTATGTCCTATTTTTTATGAGCAAACAAATATCCTCTTCAGAGGATGTTTAAGTTTAAAGCCACACCGGTTTCCTTCCCTTCTTCTTTGGCACGGAACGAAACACAGAGGGCGCAGGGCACAAACAGCGTTTATGAAACTGCTAATGTTTAAAGCATGTACTTTCCATGAACAATTAATTTTTTTTAGCTGTTGTGACACAGACAACAGCACACGTCGAGTAAGAGGTCATCATTTTATAATAATCTTAAGACACCATTTCAACATTTTTTGCAGTGTAGCACTACTGGAATTCCAGCATGACTGAAAACAGAAAACCTGCAAACAGTAATAGTGAGGCATCACAGCAGCCCCCATCAAATTTTCAGGGAAATCATGGATAGTAATAAACACGATGGAGGGAGATCCTGTAGTTAGCATGCAGGAAGTTCCACAAACCAGCTTTTTGCTAAACACAAAGCCACACTTCAATGGCGATTCAACCAATTCCACTGATAACTGTGCTTTGAAAGACTGCACTGAAAAGAAATCACCTCAAACTGAACTAACTAATAAAATACTTTTCATTATGTCCAGAACAAAGTTGTTTTTTTATTCCTTTTACCCCAAATGTGGTCATCAGCCAAGTAACGTTTGGTGTCTCAGGTTTGCTTCTTTAGATTTGCACTGAAGCTACAAGGCTAATGTGGCTAATAGGCAATGTTAGCTTCCAGGAACCAGTTAGTACAGTGGTGTGTTGCTGCCAAGTAGGATAGAAAATAGACCCTTCAGATGTGTCATAGTTATGAAAAAGCATCTCGTAACTGTGAGAAAATTTTGGAAAATTGATATTTATGATCACACCTCACACATAGGTGTGAGTGTGTGTGTGTGATTGTGTATGTCTGTCTGTCTGCCCTGCGATGGACTGGCGACCTGTCCAGAGTGTGTCCTGCCTTCCGCCCAGTGACAGCTGGGATAGGCTCCAGCACCCCACCGCGACCCAGAAGGATAAGCGATTTAGATGATGTATGTATGTATGTATGTATGTATGATATTTATGATACAATTACTTGTTATTGTAAGAAAGTATGTCATAAAAACAACATACATCATAATTATAAGAAAGAACATCTCGTAATTAAAATGTCTCCTTATTTTGAGATGTTAAATATCTCATTTTTGTGAGCTAAGTTTATGCCACCATACCTGTTAGCTAGCAAATAAGCTAGATGCTGTTTTTTATTTGAAACAATGGTTGATTTAATTAATCAAATTATACTTTTGGCTTGCCTTAAGTCACAGTGAAATCTTGTGTCACGAAGCAGCACAGATTGTATTGTCATTAGTCTCTGAGCACTGAGTCAGATTCTCAAATCTCAGTGTTTGTAAGTGTGTGTAAAATTCAATTCGACCTCTGAGACATTGAGTTACTCCAAACTGAGCGTTTTGAATGACACAGCAAGCGTCATGGTTATAAACTACAACATCTTAAATGTCTACAAGCTGGGTTTGTTGTCACGCAAGACACAGTCAGGCTTTGAGCTGAGATGCAGGCTTTACAGGAATTTCGGTCCTAAGCTCACAAGGCACATGGACCCGTATGATAAAACTGAAATCCTAGTTGTGTAAGCATGGAGCCAAATAATCATTCTTGAAAAGCCATAGATTAATGTAGATACCATAGGGTTTCAGTTTTTGCCATCGCATTCAGGATGGTCAGCAGGAATAACACAATGCCTAAAAGCCTATCTTTGCACTTCACGCACATGTTGCTGTCGCAGTGCTGTATCACACATACGTGGCTGGTGTGAAAGGCTACACTGATTAATACAGGAGCCTATTGTGCGCAATAGCCTATGACTGCCTCTTCTGGTGTAAAATGGGCTTAAAATTTCATTCAAGCCAAAAACTAACATGATTCTAGCCCATTTGGTAGGCTACAGGTTTTATGGCATGAACTTATTTCAAAATATTATATATATTTTTTTTTCATAATTATGTCCTTTCTCATTATTATGACATAGTACGTTGTATTTGCGACATACTTTCTAGTAATAACGAGAGAATTTTCTCGTAATTATGAGATGTTCTCTCTCAAAATTATGGTCATTTTTACAACATTCTTTCTCATAATAAAATCATATTTATGAGATGCTTTTTCATAAAATTACGTAACATCTCATAATAACGACATGCTGAAGGATCTATGAAGGATTTGTAAGGAGCCTTACAAGCCCTGCATGTACCTCCCACCATGAATGGATTTTAATAAATACGTTTTAGGCCAAAAGCAGTGAATCATAAAACAATGTCTCAGGCATCAGGCATCATATTTGTAACAAGTCCATGTAACAACTTTGTGTGAGAGAGCTTTTAGAGGCATTAAACTCTTCAGACGTCTGGTTCCTATGACCACCACTGTGAACATTTATGACTTGGCAAGTTTTTCTAGAACACATCAAACCACTCTGAATCACTTTCTTTACATATTAACCATTTAATTAGGAGGAATTTTTTTAAAAAAATCGGAATTTCCCTATAAGATGAACACAAAACATCTTGGCTGACTGACTACACTTGAAGCTGCTTGACCAGAGGACAAACCTTCTTCTTGATGTAGGAATTGGAGGCCTTGAGGAGGCGCTCGATCTCAGGTGCCAGGTCTCGACACATCTCTGCAGAGCCCATGCAGGCCAGGGTGCACAGGGCCAGGGACTGGACGTACTGACTGCTATGAGAGAGGTCACTGCAAAGAGCACACAGAAACATATTCACTTCACATACTCAGTACAGTAAAAATTGTAAGCAGAGGCAGTGAGGTACATATGATGCTGTAAGGGTGGGCAATATAGCAAAAATATAACATCACTATACCTGAAGTCCAATCAGGAAACCCTCATGCCCTTCTAGGCCTTCAGAGAAGCCTAATGATTTTTGAGAACGAATGCATGTCTAACTTTTTGTTCATTTTTATTAAATAGTATCGTGCTTGTATTTAAACTCTATGAGTATTACATTACTACTTTTGTTTCATTGTGAAGTTTTTTAAGGAAACAAAAGAAATTCTTGAAATGCTGAGCAGAAAATTAGCCTATCTCTGTGGTATCAAGACAGATATAGCTAAGCAAGCTCTCCTATTGGTTAGGACTTCAGGAGCTGAAGAGAAGGCCAAACACGTTAGATTGACTTTAGCATAATTACCAAGTAGCAGAGGAATCAACCAATCATGCTGGGTTGGACCAATTTTAAGGCCAGGGTGCACAACTCCAGTCCTGGAGGGTCTGTGTCCAGCTGGGTTGGACCAATTTTAAGGCCAGGGTGCACAACTCCAGTCCTGGAGGGTCTGTGTCCAGCACAGTTTGGTGCCCTACCTGCTCAAACACATCCAATTACACTCATGTATTAATTGCCAGGTTTTGTGGGTGTGTTTGAGTAGGAAACCTCCAAGCTGTGCTGGACACTGGACCTACAGGACCGAAGTTGTGCATTCCTGATCTAGTCCGTCTGGAAGTTCCAGATACATCACTGACTGTGAATACGAGTGGCAGCTTAATCAATGAGCTGTTAGAAATGGAAAACAGCAGTGGCAGCTCTGTACCAGCCTCTCTGTTGAAAATGTCACTCTGCTATAAAATTGCTACAAAGTAAACTACATGCTAACAGAAGCTTTAAATGTCTGCCTTTTTAAAAATTTCTGTCCTTCCTTAAATGTTGCAGCAGTTACACTCTGGAGCCAAAAATCTTGCCGTTCCACCTTAAATGGTGAAGTCTGCTGACTGAAACAGTGTGTGCTATGCTTGCCGGTTGCGAGTAAACGTGGGTGGTGCTCTCCAGTAAAGCTAACCTTTTCAGTAGCAACGGGAACCGTCAGACACGCCTACTTCTCTCCTCACTTTGAACAGTGAAAATCAACATCTACGCCATGCATCCCATTGAAAATTATGTGTATGAAAGCGCAGTGGTGAATTTTCCATGTTCAGTGTGAAAGCAGCTTAAATGCACCAAAATGTAACTGCTGTACCATTTAAGGCAGAATGGAAAATTTCAAATAAATAGCTAAATATTAAAATAATATACTATATATTATTCTAATAAAGCATGTAAAGGGACACTATCAAATCTTAGCATAATCACTGAAGTGGGCTTTTCCCTTTTCTCTTAGTTTTGACTGAATTTTGACATTTACAGTCCTAATTGAAGGCCTAGCTCTCACAGTCACGGTTCACTACTGATACATACAACTCAGTAATCAAATACTCTTGATAAAAACTTGAATGTCTTCAGGGTGAATACTGAGAAACTTCTGCCCAATTGCTGTTAAAATCTGCAATTCTGTTATGAGAATATGCAAAGAAGACCACAAGCATAACTACTGTTTACCTATATAAAATATGCATGTTCTACTTTATCCCATGTAAGGCTGTTCCCTGCTCTCTCTTACCAGGGTCTTTACAGGATCTCTGTAATTGATCAACTCTGTTCTTCAGTGTTCTACAAGTACTGATGATGCCCATAATATACTCAAAAACCACATACCGTGATGTAATTTACCACAATAACGATGAGCTTATGACCATATTGCCCACCCCAAACATGCTGGTCAGAGGAGAATAGAGAAAGAGGAAGTTACTTCTTGATGGAGTTGGTGATAAGCAAGCTGGCATCCTGCTTCTCGTCCAGAAGCATCATGGCCCCGAGGTAGCCGATGCGTTTCTCACTGTATCTGGGACTAGCAATCATACGGACGCACTCCATCTGAGGAGAAACATCAGAATTGACACACGTAATTGACAACATGATTTTACCTGGACAAATAACATGTTAACACATCCTATACTGAGAACACAATTCTGTACATTTTATGCAGCTATTAATTTACGGAACTTAACACATTGGGGAGTGGGGTAATTTTACCACAGCACGACTGAAATACAAATTTAGAAGTGTACGAAAAACACCGATTCATAACTTCTGTTATGAGATATACCGCCAAAAACTACAAAGAGCCACACACTGAATCTCAAAAGCAGAACAGATCGTAAAATTTGATAAGTGTCTTCAGGATTACAGGAACTTAAAAAAGGAAACGTAACGTAATTAAAAGAATAGAGAAAAATATCTACAAATGATCTCAACAGGTTAACAGGTTGTCCAGACAAACGCACGTAGTTAAGCCTTTGCGTGAGGTTAGGACAAAAGCTTAAGGACAAACAGCAGGCTAAAACTCTAAAAGGAGAGAAAGAAAGATAGAGAGAGAGAAAGCGAGAGAGTGGTGGGGCGAGAGCAAGGGGGAGAGAGAATATATTTCTTACATTGCGGAATAATAGTTATTTGACTTTTGTGTTTCTGTGAGGCTTACCGTTATAATCCATGAGAAGCATGCTATGACATGAGATAAGGACTTGTTTATGTCCATCTCCAGTCTATCCTACCACAGATGGCCGTGACCTGTGGTTCAGGAGCTGGAACTGGGTATTTCCATCATCGTATAACTGGGTGAAAGGTGACCATTCAGGAACCTTTAAGGTCTCGGGCCTGACCGAGAGCGACTCTTGCTGACATCATTAAAATGTGCATGAGGGACAGTATCTTTGCTGAATCTCTCCAAAGACACTGTGTTCTATTTTGTTTCTGAACCAGTCAAAGTTTGCATTATAGTAGTTTTGATTTGTACTGATGAACCAGCAATTGCATATGTAGATTGTCTAGTTTACATATAATTTGCATAAAGGTATGACTGCTTTGACCAAGTCTGCGTTAAGTGGGGAAGACACCTGCAGGCCCTTTCTTTCCCACCACACTCTCTCCCTCTCCCCTCTACTCTTAAGCGTTTTAGCCAGCTGATTGTCTTTAAGCCTTTGCCTTAGTTAAGCCTTTGCGTGCAAGATTATGTGTGTTTGTGTGAACCTGTTAACCTGCTGACACTATTTTTCTCTATTTTTTTTCCATTCTTTAGTTTAAGTTTACTTTTTCATGATCCTGTAATCCTGAAACATTTTTATTATTAAATACTTTTCATTTATTTGACCTGAGATTTAGTGTGTGGTCTTCTCGTCTTGGTTTTGGAGGTGCATCACATCACAGAAAGTATGAATGGGTGCTTCACACTGTAAACGATATGTGGTAATTTGTGTCCCCGATCACCTCTGAACGTGGTTTGGGTGATCGAATCACAATGTGTCTCCAAGACGCATTGTACTCTGTACACACCTGTACTTAGCACCATCTACGGATGTTAACACCAGAACACATGTGAATGCCAAATGTGAACGGGGCCTTAATGACGTCAGTAAAAGTCGCTGTCAGTCAGGCCCAAGGCCTTAAAGGGCATTTCCATTAGAACTGAACAATTTGGGAAAATATCTAATTGCGATTTTTCTGCTCGATATTTCGACCGCAATCGCAACTGTGATTATTTTCTGTAAATTGAAGTCCAGGCCTTTTATTTTGGCCAAGAATACCAGAACATCCACTTTTTCTGGCTTAAGACTTGAACATTGAACATGCCAGACTGTCAGTTAGTTGTGGTTATGATGTCACAGCATATGGCTATTTGGTCTAACTCATCTATAGGCAGTATACAAGCTCTGAAGTTGTTAATAAAAAATGGCTATAATTAACATTGCAGCTCTTGCGATTTGAAAACTGCACTCTTTTAAATGCAACTACGATATAAAAATGATTAATCTATCAACTCTACCTGCCACCCAGTATTACATTGATGGAAAAACCCAGTTTTGACTCCTGTACCATAGGCAGGTGCCATGTCTGGCAGGATAGATGGGAGATGGGCATAAACAAGTCCTTATCTCACATCACCCCATCCATCTCAAGGAACACAACCCAAAAATCCTCAAAGAGACATAAAAGCCAAATAATTATTATTCCTAGATGTAAGAAATAAACTCTTATGGAAAAAATATTCTATATTTAAAAGATTTAAACTTGATTATGGGAGATAATCTACATCCCTTCAGGGGAAAATAACCTATAAAAAGTGGACTGTACAAATGTTATGTCACGATGCATATTTCCCCCAATATCTCAGCACTCAACAAAAAGAATTTGTGCATTAAAATGATCAGAAAATTGTCATATTCGAGTGTGTTCTCTGTAGAGGATGTGTTAACTTATTTTTTTACTTACAGAATCCACACCGTGGGTGTTTTTGTACAAACCCATACAGTAAAGTTAAGGGGAGCCCTACAGCATTTACTGGTTGTGTTCAAACCAATTATTGTGGTTTAGAGAAATGTTTGATAATAGACACTTATAAGAATCACTTAAAACTGGAACTTTGGTGAAATGGTCATTTAGTGATGAAACAAACACAGCAGCTACACAAACAGTATAATGACAGTATCTGGTGAGCCATATGACTGTGAAGACTAAAACATCATCAATATCCACATAACAGCATTTGCAGTTTCGGAGAAATGCTTATAAACGTCGTTACTCTGTCTTTTACTGTCACTTAGTCAACTGGAACATTTCCACAGTGTCAAATGTACCTGAAATGGGGTCAACATGGCAGGTTATGCTGCACAACCTGTAATGCACAGCACCTCCAATTCACTGTTGATCTGTGCTCTGCCACTTTCCCTCCCTACACAATGACACATAAAACAGAGCAAACGCAGAGGACACATGTGACCATATTACCTGCCCGAAGTGTGCAGGGTAGCCCAGCATGTGCACATACAAGAGCTTGGCGAGGTTGTGAGAGCGCCCTCCGCTGTCAGCTTGACGAAACTGCGCCCGAATGGCAGCACATTCTCTCTGAATGACCCCCCTCTCCTCTCCCTGAGTCCGAGCACTGCGGATCACCCGGATCATCTCCTGTAGGCATACTGATGGAGCCATGTCTGAAAGGGGGGCGAACAGAGAGGAGGAGAGGAATGAGACAGCAATTGAGACAGATGGTGGGAGACAGAGAAAAAGAGACAGAGAGGAGAAAGTGAAGAGAGAGAGAGAGAAAGAGCAATAGAGATAAAGAGAAAAATGAGAGAATGATTGAGACAGAGACAGAAGGAGGTAGGGAGAGAGAAACAGAGAGGTGGAGAGAGCAAAAAGTGAGAGAGGGGAGAGTGAAGAGAGAGAGACAGAGAGAGAGAAGGGAGAGAAAAAAGAGGAGGAGAAAAAGAGTGAGAGCATGAAGAGACAGAGAGAAAGGGAAACAGAGAAAGTGAGAGAATTGAGAGAGTGAGACAGATGGTGAAAGAGAAAGCAAAAGTAAAAACGAGTTAATGGGAGAGAGAAAGAAGGGAGATAGAGATAAAAAAGAAGAGAGAGATAGAGAAGGGAGGGATATACAGAGGAAAGAGGGAAGGTAGAGAGAAGGAGATAAAGAAGGAGAAGAGAGATAGACAAAAAGAGAAGAGAGAGGAGAGAAGCAAGAGAGATGAGGGAGAGAGAGGAGGGAGAGGGAGAGAGAGGGGGGGAGCGAGAGAGACACAGAGAGAGACAGAGAGAGAGAGGGGGGGGAGAGAGAGAGAGACACACAGAGAGAGACAGAGAGAGAGAGAGAGGGGAGAGAGAGAGAGAGAGAGAGAGCGAGAGAGCGAGAGAGAGAGAATTACTCAGCACAGTTTGTTAAAGGGCTTCACAGAGATGCTAATTTATTCAGTGGCAGTTCAAATGTGATGCTGTACTCTCTGCTCATGAAAAGAGGAAGTGACATTCAGACAAACATAAATCACTACGAATAAAAAGTAAGAATATGTGCCGACATTCAGCAGCTATACTGAATTATTATTACTGATATTCAATATTTAATTCATTTTGTCTGAAGAAAATGCATGTCTTACATGTACACGTATAAGTGTTTTCCCCTTAAAGGGCAATTTCACAGATTTTCTACATAACAATCATTAAGATGTAAACAAAGTCAGAGTGGTTTGGTGTGAAAAGCTCTATTCTAGAGAAACTTACTGAGTCAGAATTGTTCACAGTGGCGGTGATAGGAACCAGACGTCCACATATTACATGAAATAGTAATACGCTGCCTGAGGCATTGAGTGCGTTTACATGCACTCAATAATCCAATCATAATCGGATTATTAGAATGGCCATGTAAACAGCATACTCTGGTTTCTTAGATCAGAGTAAGGTCTAGAAATCCGGATTTTTAGCTCAGTAATCAGATTTCTCAGTGCATGTGAACTCTTCTGATTTCTTTCGGATTTCTCAGTCTGCGCATGCGTGAAAGACAGACAGCAGTACCGGGAAAAAAAGCATGAGATGGCGGCAAAACACTTTTTCGAGCGATGCTGAAACCAACAATCCTTGACGAAATGAAGGATTTAAACATTCTTCATCTTCTAGATGATGTATGTTCATATTTTCAGGTAAAATGACGAGATGCTTTACAATTTCTGACATGAAATGTATCTTTTAAAAGACGCTCATGGTGGAGGGATACATGCAGGGCGTTCTAAGGCAAACCAGCCCCCCAAAGAACACATTTAGAACTATTTTACCATCATCAACATTACATATAAACACTCAGAAGACGTGTGCAGGTTCACTGGTGGTTCTGGATAGCAAATAAACTGGCTACATTTGTGTTGTAGACATACGACCACCTGGTTCTCATCACCACCACTGTATAGAAATGTGTTGCCAAGTTTCTCTACAAGTGAACCATTTCACATCAAACCACCCTGAATGACTGTTTACATCTCAATCACTGAATTATGCAGAAATTTCGAAAAATGGGTGGAATTCTCCTTTAATACCCTGATAGTATGGTAACCCGTGATACAGGGTGGGTAATTATCGCGATATTTAATGTCTGCTTGTGAGACGATCAGAAGAGCCCTTTTCCCTCAGCTGCACTAACAGCACCGGCACTTCCGCAGCGCAGGTATACATGACTGTACACCTGTCCGCGCGGCAACGAGCCATATTGTACCACACGGGGGGCTTTCTGTGTCCACTCTCCTCCTAAAACAACCCTTTCACACCCTTATTCCAACCGAAACTGCCTTTAATCCCTGAAAATGTTAGTATACCTTAAATCCTTCACCTACGAGCCAGCTAGCCCTCATACACGAGCTGTAGAACAGCCTCACTAGCTAAATACGAAAGCTGAGGCGAATATCTTACATATTCGAGCGCTATATATCTAGTAATATTCATTATTCCTGTCCTGTATGGCCATCTTAATACAAACGAAGGCTTATGAAGCTTAAGTTAGCTTCTTATTCGAATTTCACGTTCCACCTTAAATGGTGCAGCAGTTACGTTCTGGCGCCGGAGGGGCCAGAACGTAACTGCTGCACCATTTAAGGTGGAACGTGAAATTCGAGTAGGAAGCCAGTTTCACTCGCCGGTTTTACCCGCCCTTACCTCTCGAATCCAACTCGCAGATATCCAGCAATGTCCGGCGACAACAACCTGCCAAATGTCATTGATGTTACCAGCAGCAGTTTAATCAAAGCTGTCCGGCAGAAGGTGCTAACTTGCTAGCAGCTGGAACCGAATCTCCCTCAGCAGCCATATAAACAGACCCAACAGCGGCGCTACTTCCGTCATCCGGGAGTCACTTCAACGTCAGGGAATATTAGCTGGGGGTTCTCCTGGAAGACTACAGCATATTCCGCCTATTTATGCGCGAAATTCAGCCTGTTTGTTCAACTTTTCCTGCACAATTGGATGGTTAAGATGTACAAGTCATTCCGAGTGAACGCTCAGTTGAAAGAACGTTGCAGAGTCAGAACTGTTCACAGTGGCGGTGATGGGAACCAGACGTCCGAACTGCTTAAAGAGGAACTCTACCGATTTTTCAAACTTTCTGAATAATTCCGTCTTCGAGATGTAAACAGAGTCAGTCAGAGTCGTTTGATGTGAAGTGGTTTATTGTTGAAATATTTTCAGACTGAGAATTCTTTACAGTGGTGGTGATAGGAACCAGGGGTCCCCATGTCTACAACACAGTATATAGACATTTTACTTACAACCAAAAATCAGCAATGGACCCTCATGTGTTCTACATTTTTACATACAGTCTTGCTAGTGACATCCCATATAAATAAAAATAATGCGTGGCCATGCCATAATAATGCGAGGATCTTGTTCCCACGAAGTAAGCTGTGGGAACAAGATCCTAATGCGTGGCCATGACTTAGTGACTTACTAAGTCGTGGCCACGCATTACTTTTATTTATAGGGGATGTCACCAGCAGGGTTCTGTACACACCATACTAAGTAGTGGCCATGACTTAATTATCTTGTTCCCACACCTATCTTGTGGCCACACATTATTTTTATTTATATGGGATGTCACCAGCAGGGCTCTGACTTAGTAAGGCGTGGGAATGAGATCATGCCCTATGTCAAGGCTAAATCATCTCATTCTCACACCTTACTAAGTTGTGGCCACGCATTAGGATCTAATCCCCATGCCTTACTAAGTCGTGGCCATGCATTAGGATCTCATCCCCATGCCTTACTAAGTCGTGGCCACGCATTAGGATCTCGTCCCCATGCCTTACTAAGATGTGGCCACGCATTAGGATCTCGTCCCCATGCCTTACTAAGTCGTGGCCACGTGTTATTTTTTGTTTATACGGGATGTCAGCAGTAGGGCTCCGTAGGTGTGGGAATGAAATCATGCCATATTAAGCTGTGGTCAAGGCTTAATTATCTCATTCTCACACCTTACTAAGTCATTGGCACGCATTAGGATCTTGTTCCCATGCCTTACTAAGTCGTGGCCACTCATTATTTTTATTTATATGTGATTTCACCAACCGGGTTCCCGTGTAAAATAGTGAAAAATCTGGAAAAGTTTTCTTTGGGGACTGTTTTGCCTTCCAACACCCTGCATGTATCCCTCCGCCATAAATGGATTAAAATACATTTTAAGCCAAAACCTTATCAGAAAACTATCACAAAACAATGTCTCAGATGTCATATAATCATATATAACAATACATATTCATAACTATTTCATGCATTAAGCACTTCAGATGTCTGAATTATGTACATCTTACATCTTGTTTTATGACAGTGGAGAGGTATGCGCAGGGCACTGTAAGGCAAAATGATGCTAAATGTTTTTTTGTCTTTACTATTTTACCATAATCTACATTATATTTAAAAACTCAGGTTATCTGGTGATTTTGGATAGTAAATAAAATGGCTATATTTGCGCTGTAGACATGGCGACCCCTGGTTCCCATCACCACCACTGTAAAGAGATCCAAGTCAGTTTCTTCACAGTGAAGCATTTCAAATCAAACCACTTTGGAAGACTTTGTTTACATTCCAACTACTTTATTATGCAGAATATTTGGAAAAATTGGTGGAATTCCCCTTTAACGTTCTTGAATGTTGTGAAATGTTACTTTATGCTGAAATTTCAGCTTCCTGAATGAATGAAACACTGTTCTTGTACAACTGGTACAGGCAGAGGGCCTCTTGTTTTCAACAGTGGTGGAACTGTCAGACAGTATTTAAAGATCCACACTGTTGACGATTTTATCATTTATTTACACTTTTTCTAATTCCCCTATTATTATATATTAACATGATATTTTAGTTGTAGATATATTTTCCATCAGGTTTTCCATTTCAGACTCTGGACCAGCCAGTTTAACCAGCAAATTTATTAAAAACATCAGTAAAACAATATTGACTATTTATTATCAAACGACATCCTTAAAGCGAGAATGCTTAAAGTGGAACGTCATCTATTTTTAAAACTTTCTGCATAATTCAGTGGTTGAGATGTAAACAAAGTCATTCAGAGTGGTTTGATGTGAAATGGTTCATTGTTGAGAAACTTACTGACGCAAATGTTCTTTACAGTGGTGGTGATAGGAACCAGGGGTTGTGAAGTCTACAATGCAAATATAGTCATTTTATTTACCATCTAAAACAGCCAGTGCAGCTACATGTCTTTTAAGGTTTTATATGAAATGTTTCAAATGGTAAAACAGTGGTAAATCTGGAAAAAATAGGTTTTCTTTAGGAACTAGTTTGCCTAACGCCCTGCATGTACCTCTAAGCTAATGTAAAATACATTCCATACATTTAAAGGGAAATACATTTTGGCCCACAACTTGTAAAACTATCATAAAACACTGTCAGACATTTGTCAGACATCAGGCAACGTATTCATACCAGATTTTATGTAATAACTTTGTTTGAGTTGGCTTTTAGAGTTATTAAATACTTCAGATGTCTGGTTCCCATCACTGTCACTGTGGCTGAGTTCAATCAGCAATTGCAGAAATAAAACAAAAAAAAAATGTGACAGCATGAGATTTACAATTACAAACCTTCCACAAAAAAATGTAATTATTGCAATTTCAAGCACCACAGATAAACAAAACGGAAGAAAATGAAACTATGACAGACATCGAAGCAGCAATAAGCTTTTACACAATTCATATTCTTGTGTGCGTATGTAAATCTGCTACATAGCAGTGCACAGCCTGGCCAGTAGATGGCAGGACTGCAACAGACAATTGTTAAGGCCAGAGCAAACTCAACACTCAGAAATCCTCATGGATGATTGTACTTTGTGTCCACACTTCAAATACATTTCAACACCTGTAAATAAGCTCATGTTCTGCTTAAAATCACTCTCTTGTCAGAGTTTCTCATCAGCTTCTTCTCTATTTTCTTCATCGTCTCTCCTCTTGTCTTCTGCGGGATACACCACCAGGCATAACTTCTGCCCCAAGCGTGTCATTTTAGCTGTGCAGAGACAGGATTGGAAAAGTGGTTGATGATAATAGTGATCATCATCTTCATTATAATAATCATTATCATCATTACCAACGATTTGTTGTAGCTGTAATAGTCACTGTTATTTATTAATAATGATACAGTTTGCTTACAATACAAGATGCAACAATGCTAAAAATAATATAAGAGAAACTGAAGCAAATCCAGTGTGGAAAAAATAGATTTAAGAACAAATAAACAACAACAACGGCTCAGAGTGCTTTACAACACTAAAAATAACTTAAAAAGCACTGATGAGGGAAATGTACATCGTTTTAAATGCACAGAAACGAGCAAAATTATCTTAAGTGCTAACCTACCAACGAATGAAATGAAGTTTTTGGGTTTGTTTTCCCAGTAGACGCCAGCGAAGTAAACTGGGACACCCGTCAGCATGATAGCCAGACCTATGCAACAGACCATCGGCTCCGAGTAGAGCGAGAAGATGAGCAGGAAAGCCCAGAAGAGCAGGTAGATCACAGGCCACGCCAGGCTAACCTGTTTGACAGTGATGCATAGATGGAAAAAGATGTTTAGATACTCACATACAACACATGGCAAAAGTTACATGGCAAAAGTGACCACCCTTTTCCAGTAAAAACAGCCACTGAGTACAAGTTTTTCATTTTTCAAGAGATACTTCTAAGGAGATTAGATAAAAGATGATCTACTTGCGTGAGAAAGAGGAAAGTCAGAGGAAAATAAGTGAAAAAACTGAAGTTAAATTGTAAAAGATAAAGAGAAAATGAACTCCTAACAACCACCTGGAAGACCTGGCAGACCACCAAAACTGCCCCAGTCAGATAAACAGCACTTAAAGCTTTCATCTTTGAGAGAGAGGAGGAAATCAAGCTCTTCAGATCTGAAAAAATCTACGGGTGCTTCCGTCCATCCTTCCACTGTGAGAAGACAACTCAGCACTATGAGTCTGAAAGGATGTGTAGCTGTCAAGAAGCTGCTGCTGAGAAAAGGAAATAAATAAAGCAGCTGTTGGTGCTCTCAGAGCAATGGACTGACCACCCCAGAGTCCACACCTCAACATCACTGAATGTGTTTGTGACTACTTATGAGAAGCAGAATGTGCAACCAACTTCTAAGACTGAACTTTGAAGCTGTGAAAACCCTGAGATTTCTTTAAAAAGCAAGACTCCCAAACAGAATGGAAGCTGTAATAAAGGCAGAGTGGACGCACTAAATACTGAAAAATTTGATATTATATTTAGCTGTTGAGGCGTTTGTGTTCTCTGTTTCCTGAAAAAGTAATTACTTGTACTTAATGGCTGTTTTAAAGGAAAAATGAAATTAATGAAAAGCAGCTTGGCACTAGATTTTCTCCTCTTTCTCAAAGATGAAAGCTTTACGTTCTTTATCTGACAGTTTTGGTGGTCTACCAGGTCTTGTATGGTTGTTAGGAGTCCCATTTTGATTTCCTTACACAAGAAGATTATCTCCTATCCAGTCTAAAGGATTAACCAGTACCTAACTGCCGTTTTGACTGGACATTAAATAAATAAAGGCTGTTTGCACAGTACTCTATATATCCAATGTAAAGGTTTAAACCAATGAAATAATTAAAAGATGAGAGCATAAGATCATATAACAAATCTTAAAACTCATTTGCTGGACTGGAATGTGGCTGTTGGTGTTACTGTCGTTGCTATTGTTTCAGCTAGCTAGCTTACATTTGTTTGATCAGTGACTGTAGAGCTGGTTATATGGCTCACAATTGGACGAATGTGCAGTCCTAAATGGGGCTTTTTTGGTTTAGATGTGCATTTGTTCAACCCATGTCCTCAAAGGTGGGCATATGCTTATGTATACGCACCACTACACTAATGGGTTAATGTGAAAACATTAACATGTGTGCAAAACATTCAGTGGGCTTTGTCATGTGGGTTGTTGTTTGCACTAATAATTCAGCCCTAACCATCAAACTGGTGTATCAATGTCAGAAGATTTGTGTATGTAGCTATGCAGTCAATCTATGTATGACTCAAACTGTTGACTCTTAATTGTCATTCAGCTCCGGTATACTGAAAGACATGAGCTGTGTGCTGCCTCACCTTGATTGGTCGATACAAATCTGGCTGTTTGATACGCAGCACAATCTGCCCAGCGACAGTGACCCCGTAAAACAGGTAGTTTATGAAGCCCACGTAGTTGATGAGGGTGTACATATCGCTGGTGCAGAGCATCAGAAGAGTTGATATGCACTAAAAGAGAGTAAGGATTTGTGTTTAGTGGTCAGGTGAATTCTCATAAGGAATATGGAAATGGTCTCCAATGGTCTTCACTTACAGTGAAAAGCAGTGCTGGGATTGGGGTGAAACGGTTCACGTGGATCATCGCCAGCAAACGAGGAAGATGGCCTTCTCTTGCTCCGACAAAGAACAATCTAACAGGAGAAAAAGGCAGTTAGGACTGGATAAGTGATTGATGAATTGCACAAATCAGTATGTTAATGTAATGTGTATCTATGAAAGCGCCTATTACGAACAGAATGGCCCTTATTCATCAAAGTTGAAACCTGAACAAAAAATGACCGCATGCAAATTTCACTGACAGTCAGGGCTCGAATTGTTGCAGATGTCTTCCTCTGATGGAATGTCTGACCACACCAACTGGCCACTTCATTAAGTACACCTACCTTGTATCTACACTCTTTTTCCATTTTATCAGCTCTGCTTACCATATAGGTGCGCTTTATAGTTTTACAATTACAGACTGTAGTCCATCTGTTTCTCTGCATACTTTGTTAGCCCCCTTTCACCCTGATCTTCAATGGTCAGGACCCCCACGGGCCCATCCCAGAGCAGGTATTATTTGGGTGGTGGATCATTCTCAGCACTGCAGGGACACTGACGTGGTGGTGGCAGGTTAGTGTGTGCTGATTGAGTTTTTAAACACTGTGTCCACTCACTGTCCACTCTAATAGACACTCCTATCTTGTTGGTCCACCTTGTAGATGTAAAGTCAGAGACAATAGCTCATCTGTTGCTGCACAGTTTGTGTTGGTCATCCTCTAGTCCTTCATCAGTGGTCACAGGATGCTGCCCACAGGACGCTGTTGGCTGAATATTTTTGTTTGGTGGACTATTCTCAGTCCAGCAGTGACACTGAGGTGTTTAAAAACTTCAGCAGCACTGCAGTGTCTGATCCACTCGGACTAGCGCAACACACGCTAAAACACCACCATGTCAGTGTCACTGCAGTGCTGAGAATGACCCACCACCCAAATAATACCTACTCTATTTGTTGTCTTTATGGCTGCTGCTGACTTTAAGCCAAAAGTATCTAAAGTTCTCTGCAGTTTGAGATGTGCTTGACCTTTCACGTTCTCAGGGTTTAAACTGGAGTGATGTGGCTTGGGGAGGGGGGTGGTGGTGGGCGGCAGTACAGTAGAAGCTCATATACTGCGATAATATCTCTGAAACTTCTAGTATTTTATATAAAATAACTGCAATCATACAATCACATCACTTCATCTGAAAAAAGGCTTCATTTTGTTCATTTCACATTTTATTCTTTTCAATCATTGAACCTCCTGTTCAACAACCATTGGCTTACAAACCTGGTGAATACTTGTCTTTTACTGACTGATCAAAACGTTTGCATGAATTAGGGTGTACTTCTAGCAAATTATATGTATATGAGGGCAAATTTGGGTGTGTCCATTGCGAATTACATGTAAATAAGGTACTTGTGAGCAGGCACTAGTTTTCACGCACTGGAACTGATTCATCAGTTGCACCCCAATCACTACTTGTTTTGTTGTTGTACGGCAGCTTCCTGAATCTGATATGGAGTAGTTTGTACATCATTCAGGTCTATCAAATCTGTGAATAAGGGCCAATAAGCATACGCTATTTAGTAACGCGCAGGTTTAGGAGGTGGGTGACAGATTACTGATTACTTGTCAATCCCAAATGATTACTATGTTACAGTAATATAATTTAATTACTTTCCTCTACTTTTGGATTACTTGTCTTTTTCAAAATCATACAATTCAATAAGAAGCAGTTGAAATAATTTCAACAATAATTTTAACTTAACACAAGGCAAAGTGCGCTGTTTTATGAAACCATTGTCTGCGCTTTGTGTACGTCCATTTAACAAATGTCATGTTTGTGGTGGAGTTAATTGGGTATTCAAATAAGGCATGTGCAGTTGTGAATTTAAAAATGAAATAAATCAAGTATTATCTTGAAGTGGCGTCACGATACACATATATTATTTTATTTTTATTATATTATCAATTCCATGCTATAAAATGTGTGGTGCCAGGAATGGTTTCTATAGTTCTATTTAACGCAATCCATAATATTCCTAATAGTGATCACTACAAACGTAAAACAACTGCACTCTGCAGCTCTCTGAACTGGAGAAAACTAGTTTGAATAGTCTAATTTGGCTAACAGCCAAGCTGTTTGAAACAGGGAATTTTCTCAGTCGAGTACAGGAATGATGGAGTAAGGGTGGTAGACTGACCGGTAACAGAGTGTTGACGTATGAAGCAAATGTGTCAGTTAAAGAAGTGAGGAGAAAAACCTGAAGCTAAAGGTCTTTAAAGGTCTTTTTCCATACCACCTTAAAAGGAACAGCAGTTACATGTTACATGTAGAGGAAAATGCTATTATTTATTAATAACAAGCTGGCAAATAGGAAAAACACAAGAGAAACCACACGTCCCAGCAGCTATTTCTCACCAAAGCATTCAAGAAACTGCTAAGTTGCAGCTGCTTTTACTGAACTGGGGAAATCTGCTTTTAGCTACAGTGAACCAGTGAGTTGTAATTCATTCACTGGTGTCATATGAACATTTTAAACTTTTCGTATAATCATCTCTAACCACCTCCAATCAGCCTGCAACTGTTTCACTTGATTTTTGTTAAGTTTTAAAGTGATTTTTGCTATGTTTTTAGATATTGTTCCATTTATTATTGTGTTCTCATTTATTTTAATGATGCCAAGCTATCGTTTTACATGTTTCAGTTTCTTTATTTATTTTATTAACTATATTTTTTTATCCTTGCTTTATCTTATTTATTAAATTTTATAATTTTATGTAATTTTATGTTGTAATTTTTTATGGTTTATTGATTTTTTTTAAATTTTTTTTATTTACTACTATGATTATTATTACTTTTTAGCATTTGTTATGTTTTTACTATTTCTGTATTGGCTTGGCTACATTGTAAATGAGGGTCTCCCTCAATGTACGAGTTTAAATAAAGGTTGATTGAATGATTGATTGAGTGTAGTGCCAATTCTGCATGTCTTAAACAAGTCACTTGCTCTGTAGGGATGGTAATAGCTACTGATTTGCACCTCTACTCGATTGCAGAGTCCACCTCTATTCAGTTATGTTAGGAGTGAATGAACCACATTAGAAAATGCCCTCTCACACTCATTTCAGCTGAGGGTAAGAGCTACACTTTATATAGAAAGACAAGACCAGCCTGTGAATTAACTTGTAGTATTATAGTATTATTGTATATAGTATTATAGTATTAACTTGTAGTATTATTATAACAATAACATTAAGTCACTTTAAAACATATATATATTGTTTTTAGATTATCCCTTGTTTAATATATTAGTACATAGCAAAGATTTCTTCTACATAGGTCCCTCCTGTCTCAATATTTTGTGTAAATTGTGTGTATATTTTGTGTATATTTAATATATTTCAGTTTCAGTGTTTTCTTTTGTATTTTTACTTTGCTACTTTGTCTACACTGTTTTTAGTATGTATATAATGCTGCCCTGCTGTAGAGTGATTATGTGTGCCTCACCACAAGCATTTCAATGCACGAATGTCCTGACATGTTGTGCAAATGACAAATAAACTTGAAACTAGTATAAGAATAAGTATACATTCTTATACTTATACTAATGGTCAAATCATATTCTCTGCTGTTATTGTTTGCTATCAGGATGGGTTCCTCTTATGAGTCTTGCTTCCTCTCAAGGTTTCTTCCTTTTGCTCTTAGGGAGTTTTTCCTTGCCACTGTTGCCATTGGCGACGCTCATGGGTGATTGGACCCGGATTTTTCTGTAAAGCTGCTTTGTGATATAAAGTGCTATATAAATAAACTTTGACTTGTAATGCTCAGTCCATTTAATATTGAGATGCAGCATTATAGTTTACATTTTTGTTTACTTTAATATAGATAATGTACTTTTGTTTATATTCTTTTTTTCTATTTTGTGTCTTTTAAGAAACCAGAGATTTTATTAGGGTGGCATACAGCTAGAAAAAATTATCAACATGTTAAATGACATAAGAAGTGATGCGCTTGTTTTTTTCTCTATGCAACTAAATCTTAAGAATGAAATGTTGATGTATTTTAGTAATTCATGAGGAAATTGTGCATATACAGACAATGTCAACTGCTGAGTTCCACCCCCCAAAAAAGCACTGTAGCTCAAGGAGCATCATAACGCTGTAGAAAAAGCAGCAGAGTAGATGATAAGATAATCTTAACACTACAATGCTTTTGGCAAACTGACCTGCTGATAAAAGGACTGAAAGTATCTAATAAGATGATCTCGTAGAAGATGGGTTGGGAAAGAGGAAAGCTACAATACTATGTGATAAAAAGTATGTGTTAAAAAAACACACCCTTAGTTTTAACCCTTAGAGTTATTACTTTTATTCTGATAAGCTATTCAAATGTAACTGTGTTATTACATATTTATTTCCATATAAATGTAATTACTCTATGAGTTACATTTACATTAGATTAATGTTCTGTATCAACAGGGTTGAGTCTGAAATATATCCCATGTAAGAACCCAGTTTTGTTTAAACTCATTTTCTTAACAGTTACAACTTTGTTGATCAACTCAGCAGATAGCTAACAGGCTAGCAGTATTCACTGAAGGATTCATTGTAAAACTATACATAAAAGCAATAAAAATACGTTACTTGAATGCCTTACAAGCATCAAATGTCCTTGTAATAAACCAAGTGTGGGAGAACGAAAGTGTAGCACTATTAGCCTGACGCTAACAAGACATAGGAAATCACATAGAGGTGGAAATGAGCATAATAATTTGATAAGAAAAACTTTTTATGAGGTGAAAATTTCTGCATTGACCACTGCTATATTATTATATGTTCATTATTATGTGACAGAAAGTTCAAAAGTGAATGACTGTAATATACTATGATGGGCAACTGAAACTTGTCCATGTTCAGCTGTCCATGGATGCTTGGAAACAATAGCCTATTCTAACAATCCATTTTGTGGTGGAAGAACTGTTCGTGGTTATTATTTTTAATAGTACATAGTTCGTGATTTTTTCACTGGTAAGGAGTGTTGTTAAGCCAAGTGGCTAATTGTTTTATATAACAATATAAATCATATAAAATTACAGGTTTTTTTGTTATCACATGTGCATTCTAACAGTTAAACTGCACCAATAGAAGCCCAGACAGTACAAAAGGTAACAAACGTTTGTTCACAATGTGCACTTCAGTGAAAACGTATTTGCCCCCTACTGATTTAATCTATTTTTTGAGGTTTGTCACACTAAATGGTTTCAGATCCTCATGCAAAAACTCTTACTGCATAACTCAACCGTGCTTGGGCTTAAGATCACAAGCTGGTGACTGGACGTTCCCCTGCACAATTTTCTGGAAAGCAGAATTCATAGTTCTGTCAATTATGGGAAGCCACTCAGGCCCTAAAGCAGCAAAGCATCCCCACACCATCAGACTACCACCACCATGTCTGAGTGTTGCTATGATGTTCTTATTGTGGAATTGCGTGTTAGCTTTATGCTAGATGTAATGGGCCCCATATCTTCCACAAAGTTCTACTTTTGACTCATCAGTCGACACAATATTATTTCATATGGCAAATGTGCGATGAGCCTTTATGCTTTTCTTGGTTAGCAGTGGTTTTCACTTTGCAACCCACCCATGAATACCATTTTTGCCCAGTCTCTTTCAAATGGTAGAAACATGAACGGTGGCCTTATCTGAGGTGAGGTTCCTTAGATGTTTATCTGGGGTCTTTTGTTAGTTTATGAATGAGTCGTCACTGTGCTTTTAGAGGAATTTTAGTAGGCTGGCCATTTCTGGGAAGATTCACCACTGTTCCAAGTTTTCATTATTTGGATTTAACAGCTCTCACTGTGGTTCCCTGGAGTTCCAGAGCCTTAGTTATTTGTAACCCTTTCCACACTTATGAATTCCAACAACTTTCTCATGTTTTCCCGAATTTCTTTTCATCATGGCATAGTGTGCTGCTACTCTTTAGAGAGCTAGAAATGTTCTACTTAAGTAATATTTGGATTCAGCAGTAATCAAGCCTGGGTGTTTCTAGTTTAATGGATCCTGTTTATAGACCAAGTTGGGTCAATGGGTTGATTGAGTAACTAAGGGGGCATTTACTTTTTCACACAGGGTCAGTTGGTGTTGGATAACTTTTTTTTCCTCCAATAAACAAAATGAACATGGAAAAACTGTATTTTGCATTTACTTGGGTCGCCTTTGTCTTCTACTAAATTTTGTTTAAAATATCTGAAACAATTGTATGACAAATATGCAAAAATAGAAAAAATCGGGAGGGGGCAAATAATTTTTATGGACAATACACAATAAAAAACAGACCTGTGATGGACTGTAAAGCTGTTTTTGACAAGAGCTTTGTATGATATATGCCATTTGGTCAGCAAGAATGAATGGAAATAAAGTGGGAGGAGCTTAAGGAAGTCTACTTTAAGAAAAACAGCATGAATCAACTAACCGAGACGAGGTGAAGAGAGAGCCGTTTACACCTCCAAAGGTTGACAGAGCCACGGAGATAGGCATGATCCATGACACCACGCCCAGCAGCTTCTCGCCAAAAATCTGTCAGCGAGGGAGACGAGGTGAGATGGTTGGGTGAGGTGTGGAGGACATTTAATACTCAAACGAGCTCAAGAGAACAATAGAGCCAATCACATTATAACAGGTGAAAGTGGATTTCGTGTTAATGGCAGATGAATCAGTCTGTCTAATCCACTGATGAATGGGTGTTTAATTTCTTGCTGAATGGAGAAGCCACTAAGCTGCTTATTGCGAAGACTAACTCACCACAGCCACAGCATTGGAGGCCAGCAGCTCATTTGGGCTCATGGCTGTGACATATGCCACATTTGCTAACACATAAACGAAGGTGACCAGTGGTATGGAGATGAAGATCGCCCGAGGCAGGTTCCTGTTGGACAGAGAGGAACCACAATTACTGTTCATGCAGTTCAAAGCTACAGTTTTATGGGTGCTTCTGATTTCTTTAGTATGGCAGAATCATCATGAAATCTTTCACTGGCTTTGTATATTTCACTGCTGTCCAAAGAAAAACAAGTATCTCCAAAATGGTAACTTTACAGATGAGAGCAAAAAGACATTTTATTCTAAGCAAATTTACTGGCCCAATCATCATAAAATTGTTACACAACAGTCATGTTCAAATGAACTATAAAAATAAAAATAAAAAATGAAGATACATGTTTTTTTTGGACAGCAACGATCTCCGTTTTTGCACGTTTTTTTGTGTACAAACTAAAGATGGCACAATTGCACTTCTTTCTGATAACACTACCGATATTGAAACCTTTAGTATTGGCCAATGCTGATACTGATCTAATATTTTTCCTTTCAAAACTTCTACTCTTTAAAAATGAATTGTTTTAGTGCATTTTATGGAATGTTTAATGTATTTATGGTAAATTGAGGCTGAAAACATGTATATTAATTGATACTGCTGGTATTTTAGTCAGTTCCTTAAATGTTGGCATACTTGGTGAAGATGGATTAAAAAAAAAGTTCATAAAAATGTGGTTGATTAGCTTAATCTCACACTGAAAATATAAGAGAAATGTAACCTGTTACGAAATTAAATAAAAAAATTAAATGTGGATTTAGTGGCATGTTTTTGTAATCTATAAGTAAACATACATGCCTACTGTATCATATGTGATACATTCAAACAATATATTATTGAAAAACAAAAATGTGACAATCATTTCTCTTGCAGTTCCACAAATAGCATAATTTTGAAAATATAGATGACTTTCTATTCCATGGGTTTGAATTTACACTGTTAATTGAAGCACTTCACTTGTGATGTCAGAGGTCAGAGGAGAATGGCCAGATTTGTTCGAGGTGATATGAAGGCTACAGCAACCCGAAAAAAACAGTCTTTACAACAGTGGTTATCAGCAAAACATCTCTTGAAGCACTTCGCTTGAGATAAGCATCTAAAAGTAGACAATCATGCTCAAACTACTTAAACACTCTTCTACCCCACAGGAGGAAATACACATCTAAAAACATCACATCACACAATGGGAGTGTGTACTATTTTAGGCTAGATTTCCTACAGAATTGGATCTGTTTTTAGTTTTTTGCCCGTCTTTTATCCAATCCAATCAAACATTTTCTGCAGATGTCGGCCTGATACCACATCCTTCAATACCAATATGCCATCTCTGGTATATACCTTTCCTTAAAAAATTAAATTATTAATTAAATTTAATAACATGATTTGGAAAACCTAGAAAGCCTAACAGCAATAAGGTGAAACAACTAGAGTGGATCTATTATTCCAAATGGTTTTCAGTGTGTCAACAACTACGTTCTCTTTTAAGCAGCTGTCTGAGAACTTGAACGTAAGAATAAATGGAGGTTTATATGAAAAACTAAAGTCAAGGGCGTATCTATAAGACAAAACTGTTTACTAGATATTGCCATCCATAGATCAGATAAGCAAAACAAAACAAAGATCTGCAGAAAATGTCTGTCTGAAGGAACTTTGTCTCCAAAGGCAATTTGACCAATGGATAAGCAAAAATTTTGCATGCAACTGCGTCTCCCCAGAGACACTTACCAGCCACTTTAGTGGAAACTCCTGTGCACCTGCTCAGTCATGCAATTATCCAATCACCCAAATACGTGGCAGCAGCGCAGTGCATAAAATCATGCAGACATGTGTCAAGAGCCTCAGTTAATGTTCACATTAAATATCAGAATGGGGGGAAAATGTGATCTAAGTGGTTTTGAATGCAGAATGGTTGTTGGTGCCAGACGGGGAGGGGGTTCAGATTTTTCAGAAACTGTTGTTTTCTGGTATTTTCATGCATAACAACCTCTAAAGTGTACACAAAAAACACCCAGAGAGCGGTAGTTCTGTGGGTGGAAATACTTTGTCAATGAGAAAGGTCAGAGAAGAATGGCCAGACTTGTTTGAGGTGATATGAAGGCTACAGTAACCCGAATAACCAGTCTTAACAATAGTGGTCATCAGCAAAACATCTCTGAATGCAAAATGTGTCGAACATTGAGGTGGATGGGCTACAACAGCAAAAGACCTTGCAAACTTATGGTTCTGTTCCTGTCAGCCACGAACACCACAATTAACAGTTCTTCGATTGACTTCTTCTGGCATGAAAATGCACTTTGTCACATCTCAGTGATTTCAGTGACTGAGTAATTGCATGACTGTACAGGTATTCAAAATAAATTGGCCAGTGAGTACAAATACATTCAAAATTACTCAACAAAATGAATTTGTTCATGAAACCAAAAATAATCACATGTAGTGGTCTGGCCACCAATTATGACAAATAATTAATGTGCACAGGTGATGTATACACTAAAAATCATTGCTTTTAAAAATGTGTACATTGATTTCACATGAATGAAATGTACTGCATCAACACAATTGCTATTGTTTACTTACTTTTGGCAAGAATCTTGTTCATGTAATGTATTTCATTCATGTGGAACCGATGTACACATTTGAATCAAGTGCATTCGAGCAACACTTATGAATGTACATTACTTGTATGGATCAATGAGCTCCTCTGTAACGTAGTTGAGAAAATTCCATCCTCCATATGCAAAGGATCCTTGCAGGAAGGCCAGAGCAATGCGGCCCATGTCATACTCCTGGAAAGGCTCAAATGCATGGACTGGTTCCAGCCAGTAAAATTGCCCTGGATCCACAGAGAGTTCTTTGTTGCCAAACATCACTTCACATTGGAACAATAAATAAAGCTACAAGAACAATCATCTGAATGTACACTGAGTTGCCACTGTATTAGGTACACTTGTGCCTACACTTTCTGGCCATTTTATCAGGTCAACTTACCATATAGGTGCACTTTGTAGGTTACAGTTACTGACTGCAGCTCATCTGTTGAGGCAAAATTGTTCACTCAACCCCTACTCTGTGCATCAATTGAAAAGAACCACCATAGAACCACTGGAACCAAATATTGTTTCGGTGGTGGACTATTCCCAGCACAGCATTGCCACTGACATGGCATGCTAGTGGGTGTTGCTACAGGTTTATCAGGTTTAGCAGCACTACTGGAGTTTAAAATTACTATGCACACTTACTGTCTCTTATTAGACACCTACCTTGTTGGTATAGAGTTAGAGACTGTAGCTCATCTGCTGATGTACAATTTGTGTTAGCCATCCTCTAGCCCTTCATCAAAGGTCAGTTTCTGACCACAGAGCCACTCTTGGCTGGGAGACCACTCTTAACCTAGCTGTGAAAATGATTTGTCCCCGACAACACCACTGTGTCTGATATGCTAGAACCAACCATGTCAGTATCACTGCTGTGCTGAGAATGATCCACCACCCAAATAATATCTGGTCAGTGGTGGTCCTTCGGCAGTCTCTTTCCACTGATGGATGAGGTAAAGGGGGGGCTCATAAACTGTGCAGCAACAGATGGGCTACAGTCTGTAATTGTGAACCTACAAAACCACAAGATAGGTGTTTCTGAAAAAATGGCCACTGAGTGTGGGTGTAGGTGTATTTTCAGAGAGTAGGTGGATAAATGCAGCTGTAAAAGTCATAGGTACCCTTGCATATCTGCACGATGCCCATGATGATGATGAGCCCCAAGGCCAGAAGCTTGCCAGCAGTGAAGAAGTCCTGTACCCGTGTTGCCCAGCGCACGCTGGAGCAGTTCACCCATGTCAGCAACACTATGGGACACAGAGGGAAAATCTATTGATCAGGTCAAAGTCAAACCCTTTTTTTGACTGAGTTTTGATATTTATGGTCCCAACTGAGGCCTGGATTTAATAATTACAGTTCGCTACTGTTCCATTCTACATCACAGAACTCTTTTAGCAGTCTATCAGTGTAGAAGCAGACCTCACACTTTTCTCATTCATCACCACAATGACAATGAGCGTCTCACAATGAAATACTTATGGTAATGTCATCTTCTCCTAAGAAAGAATTCAGAAATCAGTTATCCTTTTTTAATACAATGTTAAGGTCTGGAGGGCACCTTATAGATTCATAATATGTGGGTAAAATGAGCTTTTTATAACCTAATGCTTTAAAACAGAACAATAAAATAAAAGGCTGGAGGCAAGACAGGGTGTGCAGAGTCAATACAACATAAAACGATATAGTTTTAACGGTTTATGGCGCAATTATGTTCCCTAACTAAAGGTACTGAAGATGTACGCTTGAGGGTGCCACCCTAGCGACAGTTTATCACCTTTTTTCTGAGAACCAAGTCAGAATTGTTCACTGTGGTGGTGATAGCTATGTCTCTAAAAGCTATGAGATAAGATTTAGGCCCAAGAGCTGCTCTTAAGATGCATTCATGGCAGAAAGGTACATATAGGAGATTGAAAGGCAAAATAGAACCCAGAGAAATCTTATTTTTCATATATACTACTATTTTACCATCATCAACATTACATATAAAACTCAAAAATAGGTTCACTGGTCATTTGGGATAGTAAATGAAATTACTATATTTATGTTATAGACATTGCAACCAACTGATTCCTTTCACAATCACTGTATAGAAATCAGTCAGTAAGTTGCTCCAAATTTATCCTTTCACATCAAGCTACTCTGAACGACATTGTTTACATCTCAATGACTGAATTATGCCTTTTTTAAATCGGTGAAAATCTTGTTTAAATGGCCTATTATGCAAATGACAAAGAGTAAATGAGATTTTTAATGGTGAAACACCACTGACATTGCAATTTAGTCCAAGACTAGGTGTAATCCAAGTCTGAGAATCCAGTTGAATAAGTATTAGGGGAGCGTGGCGCACAAATTAACATGGACTTCTTATGTTGTTAAAGAATTTAAGGAGCATGTGCTTCTGGCCACATTACCACATTTCCTAGCCTCATTCTCCCACCAAAATTCAGAGCGATTCATCAGCGTTTTAAAGAGATCTGTGCCAAAGAGTGTTTTCAGGGCATGTAAGTCATTTTTTTTAACACAAGCTTTTTTCGGTTACTGAGCTATTTGTGTAAATAGCAAAATCCAACCTTATATTACTTTAATCACCATCTCGTTGCTGACAACGTAGCACCATTTTGAAGCATGTGACGAGCTCACAGCAAGTGCTTGCTAGGGTTAAGTACAGCCTCAGTACTGCGGGATTCGTTGTAACACTGTGTTACAACTAAGTCACCTTTAGTAAACAAAAACAAATAAAGTAAATTTTGCTTTTTGTTTCATGTTTACACAGATTTTAAGATGAAACAATCTGTTTCTTCTACTTTATTTGTATCTTTTAGATGTTAGTATATTGGTTTTAAATAAGTATATTCATGAAATTGACATTTACAGTTAGTAATAATAGCTGTAGTAATTCAGAAACAATGTTCAATATTCTACTGATGTGTGATGCTTTTTATTTGCCGTCCTTCACTGGACGAAAAAAAAAATTGTCATTGTTTGACACAGAGTCTCATGTCAGTTTTCATATATAATTTGGTGTGTGTGTGTGTGTGTGTGCGTGTGTGTGTATCAATTGAGCTGTCTGTCTTATAGATAGATAATATATCATGAAGTATGATTGGAAAATATATTTATTTCTTGTAACACAGAATTATATTGAATTAGATAAGTTTGTACTAATTCATCAGGCTTTTCTAGCAGGTGTTAAACTAACCCTCTGTCTGTTACAATTAACAATTACAATTAAATTCTAGAACAACAGGTTAAGAAACAAAGTTAAAGTGTTCATTTGTAGCAGAGATGTATACGTTGCTTGTATAAAAACATGATTATTCCACCTTATATTGTTTTTCAACAAAAAACAAAATGTGTTAGGTTTTCTCCTAACTATAATACTAACATACAGGCTTTCTAAGACAAGGCTGAGAACTATGATTCTCAGTGAACAGCATGCTGTTTTCCATCCACCAAGCCAGTCAGGACAATGTTTAAGAATCATGCCAAAATGCTGTTGGCTGTTGATCTGTATGAACAAGCTCTTTGAAAACACACATGTTAGACTGCCAGCATGCTTATCATGAATTTTTATCTGTCATACTTAAATATCACAAATTACAGTCCCACATTGCTACAGTACATTCTTAAAAAAGATAGTGCTTCTTTGGTTCTTTAGCAAAGAAAATGGTTTTACATAGAACCATGAACGCTCAAAAAACACTGCATGATTAAAGGGCTCTTTGCATCATGAAAGGGTTCTTCAGATTGAGGGAGAACTGTATAAATGTGTTATAGATGCTTCTATATAGAACATTTTAGAAAAAGGTTCTATAGCACCCAAAAGGGTTATAAGCTTGTATCGTAACAATAACAGAACCCTCTTTGGTGCTATATAGAATCATCTGTAGCACATTTTCCATCAATCTGAAGAACCCTTTCAAGATGCAAAGAACCCTTTAATCATCAAGGGTTCTTTGAGTGTTCATGGCCCTATACAGAACCATTTTCTTTAGTAAAGAACCCTTGAAGAACCATCTTTTTAAGTGTGTACCATATCACTATCACTACACTGTTAGTGGGCACTGATGGGAAAAAAACAGAAATTACAAACCACTATAATCGTATGCAAAAGTTTGTTTTTTTATGGTTGATCCTCTAAATTAAAATAAGTGAACACATCCTCTACAGAAACTTAAATATGTTTTTTTTTCTGCTCAGCTTCCATTTGCTGCATTTAACATATTGGAAGAATATAAAGTGTGCTAAAACTTTTGCTCAGGCCACATTTTATGTACATTTTTGTTCATAATAATGTTAAATTTAACAAATAAATATATGCATTAAAAAATGCATAAAAATATGCATTAAAATTTGCAGAAGAATTTGTGATCTCTGTAAAGAATGTGTTAACTTATTTTCACGTACAAAATCAATAAATACATGCAACATGTTGACGGGGGCCCAAACCTTTGCTTACGACTGCACATTATGGGCCACGACACCAAAACAAACCCACTATACATTCAGAAACTTTGTGTATACGAACAAACCAGAAAAAGCAGAAAAGGAAATCCATCTTACACATATTTTGTCCACATTCACATAATTAAACATGACAGCTGTTTCTCTACTCACACAGGCAAACAGCAGCGAGCAGACGGATGCCGCTGTCTGGGGGCAAAGCAGGACGGGAAGAGAGGCTGCAGGACGTAGTTGGAGAAGGTGAGGGCAATGACAGCCTGGTTGGTGGGATAGATGACCAACAATGCTATCCACAGCCTCAAGAACCTGTAGAACACATTCATACTGTCAACCTAAAAGTACATTGAGAACATTCCATTCTTTCAATCACAACACAAGGTACAGACAGCTGGAATGATCCCCAGCTGGTACACAAGTGATGACTGGCTGGATGTTTGCTTTCATTTCATTATATCTAGGACAAAAACAGACGTCTTTATGAACAGGAGCACTGGGAATGCTAGTTAGTTAGCCCGTCTTCATTTTTGTTTAAAGAAATAGCTCAGTTTTACACATTTAACCCAAATATAGTTGATCAGCCAAGACCTGTCTGGTGTCTAAAGTTACTGTATAGTCGTTAATCTCACAAAGACATGCTTATGTGCTTTCTGAAACTGTACCACATACTGTTATCTATAAAAATGGACAAAAATGGAAAAGTTCAATAAAATAACTTGTACTTACTCACAGTTTATATCTGGAAATTCATAAAATGAAGGGTGGACATTTGCATGGTACTGTATGTAACAATATGTGACAATCATCTGCATTAAAAAGAGATTGGGCCTTTTTAATTGGACATAATTCAGCACAGTGTGTGAGATGACAAGTAGACTTTATTTAATTAATTCATTTTTAATAGTATTTTACAAAATGTGGCACTACTGATTCTTTTGTCTCTGCTCCAACTTACCAAACAAGAAAATTGCGATACTAAATGTCTTGAAATATTGTGATACGTTTGCCGTATCGCCTATCCTTCAGCCCCAGGGCAAAACAAATGATAAAACATTGCATACCAAACGTCTCTTGACTGAGTGACTACAGTTGAGGTAAGTGTACATTTGGTTATTTTCCAAACTACTGCTGTAAGAGACAGAGACACGCTGCTAGATAAAGAAACAATAAATATTACCCAGCTAGTCCTCCAAAGATGTCCTTAACGTAAGAGTAGTCTCCTCCCGACTTTGGAATAGTGACTCCCAGCTCAGCATAGCACAGCGCTCCAATGGCAGTGATGATCCCTGTGATGATCCATATAATAAGAGCCAGACCCACTGAACTGGCGTTCTCCAGGACTCCCTTTGGACTAACAAAAATCCCAGATCCAATGATGTTACCTGAGAGGGAGAGATAAAACACTGAGTGTAAGAGAGGAACTGGTATAGTAGTATATTAGGTACACCAACCTTGTACCTGCACCCATCTCATAGAGAAATGTGATGTATGGCCACAAATGCACATATATCACAATGGGTCAGACATATATTTCCAAATATATGTACATGCATGTTGTGTACATACAAATATTGAACATATATGCATGATATATGGACAATAAATGCATGTTGGTATGGGTGAACAAATATATGCACAATACATGGATGACAAATATATGTCTGATAGGTAGTGAATACATCCCAGTACAGTTATAACCGATTCTATTGATGTTTTAATGCTTTTATTACACAGCTTACAATGTGTGTCTTTAGTGTTTAGTTATGTAGCCATTATACTACAGCTATTTCACAACATCAGAAAGTTTATGGGAGAAACTAAGGAGATGCATATAAACCTTATCATAACATAAAGCTAGCATGTCACTGCTGACGGAACAAAACCACGTATCTCCAGAATGTAACTTTACAGGAACGTCAAAAACACTTTTTTACTTTTAATGTAAATAATAATAAAAAAAATTTCTCAAGTAATTTTTGACAATTCATCATATGATTTTGACACAACTGCCCTTTTCAAATTATGTCAAAAAATCAAAAATGACAAAAAATGGAGCTATGAGGTTTTGTCCAGACCGTAGCGATATATAAACAAAATATATCCTCCATTTATGAATAATGCCTTTTATGAAAAATTGTTAAACATGTCTTAGACATACCTATGTACCTATGTGGATGCCCGAAATAGATATCGCTTATTTGAAAATGGCCAATTTTAAGGAAGTTAGCATATGTAACCTATATGTCCATGTTGGACAATTATAAGTAAAATATAAGGAAAATCCATATATGCTAATATATGTCATATATTAACTCTCTACATGGCCACAATTTTATTACACACTTCTATAACCTAAGAATAGCTCCACCAGTTTGTATTGAAGTCCTTGTAGTCCTGAATAATAAGCCTTAGTATGTAATAAGCCTGGCATTTTAAGGGGTTAAAACCTTTATGTTGCCATATATCAGATTTCCATATGAGATTGACCATTTTATTAGACACATCTAGCATATATGCTATATGTTGTAATCACTTTCCATATTAATAATTGTTATTCAGTAATAACTGATAAAGTGTAAACTGAAACGTCATAGATATTAAAGGGTAAAGCAATGGTGTGTTCACAATGTGAAGTATTTTAGGAACAACAGATATGACATGCAAAAAAGGGTTATTCTCATTATCATGACAAATACTGGAAACCAACTTACATAAATACCGGTGTCCTTTTTTGGGTATACAAACAATGATTCCTGATTGAATAATTCAAAACAAACCTGAATGATCTGAACGATTTTGAAAAGGACTTTTAGTATTATTTTTCAGTTATTGTAACACAGAAAGTATTGAAGTTATATTTGTTTTTGGCAACTTTTCACAACCTGCGTACTGTCACCAGACAAAGTGTTTTAAAAGCTCTTTATTAAAATAGCCCATTTGTTTTGCAAAATATAGTGTTTTGCAATTGTATCTCATTATTGCAACACACTGGCAGCCATTGAGGTTCTCATGTTACTTTTTTGGTTCACATCCTTATAGTTTACGATGAAAATATTGACGTGAAGAGATTCAAGAGTTAAAAGTAATACACACTCATAAAATGATAAATACAGGTAATGAGGAACATGTTCTGCATTTGGAAACATTGCAGTAAAGAGAAGTAGGGCAAAAAAAAAAGATAAAATCTTTAAAAAAATTTAAATGAAGCCTGCAAACATTTGACTATGAACACTTTTTATCTGCATGATTCTCATGACACTCAAATGTTTAGAAACACATTTAGGTTTGGTGAGAATGACCCAAATGCTGTTATATAATCTTTACTTATCTGTTTATAGGGATTTTGTCACTATGAACAGCTATTTCATCAGTGAGATTTGCTCACTGCATTGAACTTGAGGTATTCTGGAAACTAATTTTACTTTCATTTTCAATGCTTTTTCATCTAAAACTCCGTTCATTGAAAATGCCTTTCTACAGATTTCCACCTGTAGAACATCAGCATCATATTAGAAACAATTTATCCATGTATCTGCAACAAAACTGGTTTTATATTATTAAAAACAGCTACTACAAACTTATGACCAGCAGCGTAAGTGGTCTCTTTGTAGGTTTACAGTTATTGACTGTAGCTGCATGATTTATCCGCCCCCCTCTATGCTGTTCAGCAAAGGTGAAGGACTACAACAGGACCACCGCTGACCAGAAATTATTTCTGTGGTGGGCCATTCTCAGCGCAGCAGTGATATCAGCGTGCTAGCGACATGGTTGTTTGTGTGGGGCTGGTATGAGTGTATAATGCCAGGGTTTTTACACCCCTCGGTGCCACTGCTGTGTTGAGAATAGACTGCCAAACAAAAAATATCCAGCCAACATTGTCCTGAGGTTAGAAACTGACCACTGATGAAAGGCAAGAGTCAAGTGTCAGGTTTGTGTCAGGAAAAAGCAGAAAACATATTTAATGGGAATTTACATAGAAGCCTCAACAACTAAACACACACCCACACACAATATCTAAACAACTTATCCTCCTGGGTCGTGAGGGGTGCCGGAGTCTATCCCAGTGGTCACATGGTGGAAGGCAGGAAGCACCCTGGACAAGTTGCCAGTCCATCATACAGACATATATGTTCACACACACATCCTTGCAGACCCATAGCACTGAGTTGTCTTCTCACTGTGTAAGGATGGACAGAAACACCTGTGGATGTTTTCAGATCTAAAGCAAGAGTGGAGCCTGATGGTGGCAGTTTTGGTGGTCTACCAGGTCTGGCAAGGCTGTCCCACTTTCTCTATCATTTCATTATTTTTCGGACTCCAGTTTTGGAAACTTTCCTGTTGTTTTACTTCTTTTCCGTTGACTTTCCTCCTTCCTTATGCAAGTGGATTATTTCATATCTAATCTCCTTATTATTATTATATCTTAAAAAAACCAATAACTTGCACTTCATGGCCATTTTGACTGGTGGTCTCTGTCTTTTGCACAGTACTGAATTAAGTGGCACTTCAGCGTAGGAGTGAGCACAGCAGTAGACGGATTAACACAGTAATCCTAGATCACCGTTAAAATGACGATGCCGTAAATGTCTGTAATGCAACCAAGTTTCCTTTCCATTGTAAGGCTTGAATGTGTGTGTAGAATGTCTCATTATCTGTCAATCACAAGGAAGTGCACTGAGTTTTGTTTGGGTATTTTTTTGCTGGGTGTGTTTGTGTGCTTGTGTGGGACATTGCATCAGAAACAGCATAAGGTGGAGGGGACTGCTTCCGGCAGCTAAGCCCCAGAGTTCTCATTTGGTGACCTACTTTGAGGGCAATGCATTGGCTGCCATTAATGTATTATAGTCGCACTGCCTCCCTTTCTATCCTCTCCACCGACAAATCCACCTATGCCCCAATAATCCTTACAAACTCTGCTATAAATCTGTTCACTTGGAGCTCGTCCACACTTTCTCATTTAACACTTGCACAGAACTGTAAAAAGACATGTTGAGTACAATATAGTAACTATGTTGCTGAGAAAACCGTATCAATGAGGCTGAATGTCTATTACCTTCATTATTAATGCTTATATAATGTCAGAGACCACCCATCATTTATTTACCTTACAGGCGAAGTGACATATATTCAAGTTCAGTCTTAGAAGTTGGTTTATGATCAAACCAACAGTTTTAAGTTGTCTTCTCACAGTGGAAGATGGACAGAATCACCAGAGGATTTTTACTGAAGTGAAAGTGTAAACTTGATTTTCTCACAGATTAAAGCTTTATGTGCTGTTTATCTGATGGGGATAGCTTTAGCGCTTCACCAGGTCTTGCAGGTTGTTGTTAGGAATCTCACTTTCTCAAAATCTTTCAATAATTTTTTAAACTTCAGTTTTAGAAACTCTAGTTTTTCTCCCTCATTTTCCTTTCCCCCTCTTATGTAAGTGGACTGTCTTATATCTAATCTCTTGTTTTTAATTGTTATATTGACTTAAAAATTCCAAAAATGAAGTGCTCCCTCACACATATATATATATAAATTATGTCAATATGGACATAATTAGAAAGTGCCTGTCGCCCTTTATGTTGTGTGTAAATTTAATTATAAATGGACCAAAAGAAATGACCCAAAATTACTTGGAAAAAAAGTCTGGTTCCTTTGACTTACATCAAAAGTAGAGTATGTTTTCGGTTTTCCTTTCTTCTGTGAAGTTATATATATATATATATATAATATATATATATATATATATATATTATTATTATTATTATTATATATTTTACAATTTGATAGCCTCCCAAAAATATATATATATATATATATATTTATTTATCCTGTGTGTTAAACTGAAAACCTCAAGCAAACACTTTCATATGAGGCAGATTACAGCACGAGGCACTGACCGTCCACCATACATACACTAACCCGTCCAGCAATGTGAGGTAATGTAACTCACCCACGATGATACAACAAGCGCTGATGAGGCCGATCTCCTTCTTCAAGGCCACTGATGAGCTTTCCGTGTTGGGGTTCGTGGGGGGTCCTGGTGACCCCCTCTGTCGAGGACCACCGTCCATCTTTCCAGTAAGCAGCTCGAATGAGTAACTTCTTCTACCACAGCTGCAATTCAGCCTTCTCTGGCCCCTGTGTTTGAAAGTTCGCCGGGAGAAGCAAATACAGGTTTATCCCTTCGTCCGAGGGGGTCTCTTCTGCGAGGGGTCTGTCTTGCCAAGAGCAGCGTCTACTTCCTGCAGGCTTCACATCTACTCTCAACATTTTCTCTTGAAAAAAGACACAGTTTCTCAGGCGAAACGGGACATTTCGCACCACATGGTAGTGTACCACAGTTTCTACCACAGCAGAGGAGGATAAACAGCCCAAATTCACACTGAAGTAAATTGTTCTTCAGTGAAAAACGAGCCAAAAGAACCAGGTTCACTGAAGAACAGCAAACCAGCACCTGTCAGCAAAGGAACTGGAGCTTTTATTGGTCTTATTTGTGTTTTTGTGGTCTAAGGAGACTCCAGAGTGAAAGGTGGAAGCAACAGCCAAGCAGTCCTGGATCAACAGAAGGACTTAGTAAAGTAAAAGCGAGTAAAACGTGAATCATTCTCCGCACAGATATCGAGTTACAGCTGCTGGAGCAGAAGTGACGCCAGCTAAAAGCATTTGAAAATGACGTTAAGGTTAAATAATTTACTCCGAAAACTAATTAAAGTTCGCCTACACCGAGTAAACGTCTCTGCCCACCTCTGCCTCAGACTACACACAATAATAATGTATTTAATAATAAAATAACGCTAAATAAAGCCTAATAAAGCCGCTTTATTCGCCATTTCTCTCCTTTGTTTTGTATCAGCGAGCTGTTGGACCGACTGAGGAAGCCGGTTTTAAACCCCGTATTATCAAATAGTGAACTCGGCACCCGCCCGCAGGAGTACGGAGCGCTGCTATGGCAACGGGCGTGCACGAGGCCCTGTCCTGCGCTGCGATTGGCTACTATCGGAGGACTACTGGTGAGTGCGAACACCTAGCCAATCCTAGCGCAGCAAGACGACCCTATCAGCCAATCGTAGAGCTGGAGGGCGGGCTTTGTCGGAAAACAGGCAGGTAAACAAATAAACACAGCGATTGGACGATTGGTGTCCTATTCGCGTCCCACTGATATTACAGTCACAATTACAATCACTAAACAGCATATAAAATAGTTTAGGACAGTTTAAATAAAGGTGCAGTGTCCTTCACGATAACCTACGTGAATGTTTCATACACATAGAATATTAAACATGAAACTCAGTTACATTTCACCTTGAAATATAATCATTAAAGCACTTAAAAAAAGGTTATGAAAAATTTATATCATTATATTTCATTATATTTTATTTATATCACTCACCCCCATTACCTGAGCATGGCTGGCCACCCTCAAAACCAGCATATGCTGTGTTTTGGATGCTGGTGTGCTGGTAAACCAGCACCAGACCAGCATAAACCAGCTTAGTCCGTCATTGAATTCATGCTGGTCAAACTTTTTGCAGCAGGGAAGTTCAACTTGATCAAACATGTTCAACAGGAATTTGCATCGTGCAAATTCCCTGAGGATCACAGGAAGTAAAATAACTATTCTCTTTATTTTCAAGGATAATGTGACATCAGACGGATGAAGACAATTCAGAAGTATAACCCCTCTTACCCAAATTATAGACCGAAAGTAAATTATTCATTTAAAGGAACCATTTTTGAGTAAATCATTTGAATCCCATACCCTTAACATGGACCACGTTTTGTGTTTTTACTAATTCTTTGTAAAAAAATCCTCACTTAAGCCGCTGTCAGCAAAGAAACCCTGTAAAAACTGAGGTATTGTTCCTAAAATGGGTTAATAACATGTTTTGAATGGTCAAACACACTTTTTCTCAGATTCAGTGTTTAAAAATGACAATAATCAGGCTTTTTTAATGAGTTACAAGGGCTGAATGGCACACGAATGTGGAATCACTCAACAAACAAGGCACTTCTGATTTGTGTGGCTAAGCATGTTTTTCCTTTAAGTATGTTAAGCTCTCTCTGGAATTATTGGCACCCTTGATAAATACAGGCAAACATGTCTTTGTTATTGATCAGTAGGTCCAGAAACTGCTTTTTGAATAAGGCACATTTCAGGACAGCTAATCAGAACTCATATACACACACACACACACACACACACACACACACACACACACACACACATATATATATATATGTATGTATATATATGTGTATGTCAGTCTTAAAGGCACAGTAACAATGTTTAATTCTGAAAAGCAAAAGAGAGGTTGCAAAATGCTCATGCAAATAAAAATTCTGACTATTTTTGGTGCATAAAACCACCTTATACATGTTATAAACCTCAAAGCATATAATAAAATACAAGAACAGTACATAATATGGGCCATCTAAGTAAATATACTATTATGCTTTTATAATGATGAGGCATAATGACATATTAACTCCACGTACTACCATCTCAGTTGGTCTGCAGGACTCAATGGGCCTGTTTACACCTTGCATTATCCCCTTAACAAGCCATGGTCCTTCTATAGCTTAAGAATAGCTCCATTAGTTTGCACTGAAGTGCTTGTAGTTACTGAATAAAATACCTCAGTATGAACTAAACCTGAAATGGTAAGGGGTGTTTCCATGCTGTTTTTGGTGATCGGATCATGTTCAGATTTCACCTGACCACAAAAAAAGCCAGGTGTAAACACTTCCATGACGCAGTGTGGGCGGATTATGATTGCATCACTCAAACCACATTCAGAGATGATCAGAGGCGGATCTTGAACACATTTAACACAACTGTAAACGGGATGCGAGAAGAATAAACAACGACAAGAAAGATGGAGGATACAAAAGTCATGCACTCCAGGCCAATGAAGGCATCCAGGTTAAGCTCGTCCACTTGTATCGTAATGAGGAAAAGAGTAAACAAAAGTGAAATGCATATGTCGTATTGAAGTGCTTTTGTGATCTTGTGATCACATGGGGGAAGCGTTTTATGAAAAGTGTAAACAGAACTTGGCCAAATCCAAATCCAATTTATCCAGATGTGATCCGGAGACAAAACACATGTTAACGCAAGGTGTAAACAGGCCCAACAAGTCAGTTTAATTATATAACCTATTTGGCCTTCAGCAAGGTTAAATGATTCAAAGAAAAGTGAATCCATATCAGGTAAAAAAAACAAGAACGTCTTTGCTGTATTTCTGGAGAGCACTTCAATCACCATGTACAACCAATGATGACAAAAGAGTCCACTGCATTAGTGGCTATCATAGTTATGCCTCATAAACCATGTCATGTTTTTGGAAGAACAAACTATAAAGAAGGAACTAACATCAATGTTATGTTACCAAAAACTGGAACAATGTACAGCTCAATTTCCAAAAAAGTTGGGAAGCTGTGCAAAATGTAAATAAAAACAGAATCCAATGATGTGCAAATAATTTAAACCCTACATTTATTTGAAAATAAAACCAAAACAACAAATCAAATTGTGAAATTTTGTTATTTTTGAAAAATAGATATCCATTTTGAATTTAATGCCAGCAACACAAAAAAGTTGGGACGGGGGCAACAAAAGGCTGGTAAAGTTGTGTAATGCTTAAAAAAATGGGGTTCACCACTCTGTGAAAGACTATGCAGGCAAATAGTGCAACAATTCAAGAATAATGTTTCTTAATGTAAAACAGCAAAGAACTTCAGTGTTTCGTCATCTATGGTACATAATATTATTATAAGACTAAGACAATCTAGAGAAATCTCGGCATGCAAGGGACAAGGCCGAAAACCAGTATTGGCTGGCCGTGATCGTCCGGCCCTCAGGCAACAGAGTGTGATGGTATGGGGGTGAATTAGTGCACATGGCATGGGTGACTTGCACATCCATGAAGGCACCATTGATGCTGATAGATATATACAGGTTTTGGAGCAACATATGCTGCCATCCAGACAACATCTTTTTCAGGAAAGGCCTTGCTTATTTTAAGAAGACAATGCCAAACCACATTCCGCACATATTACAGCAGCATGGCTCTGTAGTAAGAGAGTCCGGGCGCTAAACTGGCTTGACTGCAGTCCTGATGTGTCATCACTGAAAACTGAAAAAAAAGGAGACTACAACCTGTTGAGCAGCTGAAATCCTATACTGAGCGTACAGAGTGTTGTTAAAAGAAGAGATGATGCAACACAGTGGTAAATGCCCCCCTCCCTTTTTTGAAATGTGTTGCTGGCATCAAATTTAAAATGGGCATTTATTTCTCAAAAAACAATAAAATTCCTCAGTTTTAACAGTTTCAACAATAGTTTTGAGATAAACTTTGGGCCTAAAATGCATTTTCTAAAAGTATATTCACTGTGGAAAGATACATGCAGGTATTGTAAGCCAGCAAGTTTCTCTACAATAAACCATTTCACATCAAACCACTCAGTAACTTTGTTAACATTTTAGTGACTAAATTATGCAGAAGTTTGGAAAAACTGTCGCAATTCTTCTTTAACTTGAACTAGCGACTGTAAGAGAGCAAGAATTAAGGTACGCAAAACAGGCCAGCCAACAGCCTCTAAAACATGCTGTCCCACTGGAAATTTTAGTTTTTATTCACAGCACAGTTAGAGCTTGCAGAGCTGTTTTGCATCTATTCATGCATTCTTTTTGTACATGCTTTATTTAATTGTCTTATTAATTACTCTGCTTTGCCTAACCGTCCTAGGGTTGTTTTGAGCGCAATGCATCTCTCGCTTGATTTATTCCAACTCCAGAGCAGAACAAACCACTATTTAATATGCATTAAATTGCATAAATCAAACTGTTTAAAAACACATAAAGGTCAGCCCTTACTTATGCACAGTGAAAGGACTCAGTGTTCTTTTATATTTATGACATCAGTGCACTGTCAGGTCCTGCTGTCCTGTCTTGCCGAGAAATGGGCAAACAGGTTTTTGCTTTCAGCACACGAGAACAATTATGCACCTCAAGGAAGAACATTTTTAAATGTTCCACGTGTCCTGTAAATGCATTTTCTTCAGAGGCATATAGCAGGAAACATGAAGCAGCTACATGAACATGCTAGACCACTCATATACAACATATCGCTGTTGTCAGAAGAAAACCTTCCAAAACTTTACAGGAAAAGGAAAAAACCTGCTTTACTTTTAATGTAAGTCAATGGAACCAGAGTTTTTTCCAAGTCATTTTGGGCTGTTTCTTTTGGTCCATTCTTCATGAAATTTACACACGATATAAAGGATAACAGGCATTTTCAAATTATGCCACAAACTGAAAAACGACAAAAATGGAGATACAAGGTTTTCTTCCGACAGCAGCGATATAGTGCTGATTATCTCCAAACAAGGATGCATATCAAAGTCTGGGACACATTACATGGTAAGCGACCGGTCAGTTCTCACAAGTGACGTGTTGAATGTGAAAGAAATGGGAATGCGTAAAGACCTGAGAACTTTGACAAAGGCTTTAAATTAGTGGGGCCAAACGACTGAATTGGAGCATCTACGAAACAGCAAGGCCTGTGGGGTTCTCCAGGTCAGAAGTGGTGAGTGCTTACCAACAGTGGTCCAAGGAAGGACAAACACATTTCTTATATGACCACCAGATGAGTTTGCACTGAAATGTGGTTTGGGTTCAGAAATAAGTCTATTTATTGACAACATTTTAGCCATTTGTGCAGAAACCCAGATTGGGCACCCCTGATTTACAGTACACAGTACTGTGCAAAAGCAAGAGACCACCAAAAGTGACCCAAAGAGGAACAAACCACAAACTGGCAACAGAATGTTGGGTGTCCAAAGCTCACTGATATGCCA